TCTACTCTTAACGGCTATGTTTCGCATCCGTATAGCAGGACGGAGCGAACTGCTGCACAGTACACTCGTCCTTTGGTTAGCAAGCGGATATCTCGCCTGCGCTAATAGGTGACGCAGGTTGGCAAAATCCAATCGAGCCTTCTGTATCCGAGCTGAAATTTCAAAATCAATAATCGGAATTGTGTTTCAGTCAGTTATGTTTAGCTGTAAACCTCACTGCTTGACATATTACTAGTGGACCACAACTCCCTTATAACGAGATTTATACATTCTTAGGAACTGATCAGAACTGTGGGGGGCCATTGAGAAATAAGTGAAGTAAATACTGATTATCTTTAATATCATTTTTGGTTAAACGCCTTTGATGGAAAAATAATACGAAAGCACAGAAATAATAGCTGTGAAAGTATAGTGAATAAAAACATAAGATTACCTTCAATTGAACCTAGTATATAACCTTGTCCATTTGGAAAACACTGGATACATCGAGTCTGGTATCTGAGGCTTGACTCACGTTGCTCTAGAGGTGCATGCATTTGACGGAGATCCCATATTAGAACATGTCGTCCAGCTGTCCCTACAACCAGTTGATTCCGTATACTATCCATTGTATACACTGTACTAGGTTGACGATGTACACTTTGTGCTCCACCTTTTGCATCTGTTGCATTGGATGATGCCACAGATGCACGTGGGTCCCAAATACGTACAGTACAATCCCAACTACCTGTAATGCAAGCCTGAATATTTGAATTGTAATGCATCGTACTAATCGCTCTCAGACATGAACCCAATGTTTGATCTGAAATCATATGTAATGAAGTTATTTCGTTACAGATATTCAAAATGTAGAACACCATTACAATAGAAACACTAAATGGTTAATATAAATGAATATATTTTCGTGAAGGTAGAAAATTCGTGTAACTTAAAAACACAACTTTATATTTTTCTAAGTAAATGTATTCCTTCTGAACAGAGCAGCAGTCAACTCACATACCTTACTTAGAATTCAAGTGAATTTGAAAATGTCTGATCAAAAGAACCTCAATGATGCATCCGAATTAAAAGAAAGCTTTCGAAGAAATCTAGAAGTATTTCACCTAAACAACTACAAGATATTAATTTGTTAAAGTTTTGGACAAAATAAAGCTGTAGTTTTCTTCAGTAAAAACAGTATTTTTTTAACAATTATGTCGAGAATTACATCGATAAATAACTAGCAGCCGCATAAATTAAGTGATTATTATCTAGCATTTTGAATCAATCGAATCGCACAAAAATTATTTACTGTGTTCGAAACTATTCCAACAGTGAATACAGAAAAAATTTAATGGATTCAAATGTGATAAAAAGAAAAATTTTAAAAATCTTTGACCAGTAGACAAAGCAACGTTTGTACAACTATCATTCCTTTAAATACAGGTAAAATAAGTTAGTGAGCATCTTTTTATCATTAACAACTTGGTTGACTATCGGCAATTTTCCTAGTATCAAGTCAACAGCAATACAAAAATAACATGAAAGATTGTTGAAATTAAGGGTACGCGATTATTTTACAACGAAGTATGTTTATGAATGTGAAACTATAACTAATTTTATCATAGGGGATTTATGGTTAACTTTCATTTAAAATCATTAAAGTGGGCAACAACCTATAGACTGGTCAATTATTGATACACATATATTTGTAAAAGGAAATTTTATTGGACTAACTACTTTAGTGTTCAGTTAGTTGTTCTTGAGGAAAAGTAGAAAATTACAAATCATGAGTATTTTCAAGCCATTTAACAGCATCAAATAATAGACAGACAAGTTTATCTTACAGTAAGTAACTGATGCACCTACATAGTATTGAATTCATCATTTATATTCATTTGTACAATCTAATTCATTCTAATAGATATAATGTCAGATTTTATTCAGGTCGAGTAAGCATCGACTACGTAAAACTCAGGTTTACAGACCCGCATACAGGAACAGTTTATACGATCACTCTGTATAAGTGGTTAAAGCTTTAGTTCCTCCTCAAGTTCAATATTTAGAAATCTTGTCATCTTTTTAGTTGCAGTATGATGTAATTTGGAAAATGTTGTTTAGTGTGTTTATTTTGTTGACTTTGATCAAATCCTAACAGTAGACATCAGTCTAACTATGAAGTTTCGTACCATAATTTTTTCAGTAAGTAAATAATTACGTCTTCTCATCCATTTAATTCTTTACATTATTTACCAGTAGTATTAAAAGTTAGCGTAAATTACATCCGAATTCTACCCATACCTAGAAGACGAATATCTGGCCTACGTCATAAGTAACGCCAGTTGGTGAATGCCAATAGAGCCTTCTGATTTGTTTTCCAGGTTTTGTCAGTCACCAGGCCATCGGCACTGATGAAATTCTCAAGACAATTGAGGCGGTTAACACGCTCAACCACTTCCCTTCCTATCAATAGTTCAGAGGCCGACACAAGCCAATCCTGAAGCAACAGCTTGCATCAGACCAAATATCGTGAAAAGCAAATGTGTAGTCTCTAATTTTATGAAATGTGAATAAGTATCACAAATTTATTTTCAAGTAGTGACGATTTTATGGACAAAAGAGTTCTTTGTGATATTCATTTTGTCATGTCATGAGATGCGTAAATCAGGCATTCAAATACCCTTAGTAACAACTAGAGAACAGACAATAGTAAGTGCAATTGCACCTTGAGGAGTTGCATGTACGTTAAAAGATAAACGAAAAGAGAGTATAATAATAAGATGGATTTCTCACTCATTGATATAAAACTTACTCTGATTAGTGTTGCAGTCAAACAATTTTAATTCACCATCCAGTGAACCGCTGAGAACATGTACAGTATCAGAAAAAGCAGTATCCAAAACGGGAGTACTATGTTGGAAAAACAAACGTTGACTTCCTGAAGCCACATCGTAAATTCGAACTGTACAGTCCCAACTTGAGGCGACTAAGAATTGTGGAGCTGCTTTACCAGGTTGGAAACGAACAGCGGTAACACCATCAGTTGGAAGCGATGATAATTTGTACTGATCTACAGTTGTAGTCAAAGGAGCCATTGCTAAAAAAAATGAATTTGGCTTCCAGGGTAAATAAAAGCTGATCAAATAAGTTATGAAGACTAAACTATGTTCATATCAGATCAAAATAGGAGGAAACATATTATTTTCGTGGAAAGAATATGTCATTCTTTAATACTTAAATGACAGATTTCTTAATATATGGTCATACCATGCTAGGACTCTATAAACAGTATAATTGGTAGTGGTTTCTAATGATAATTTTAGTCATTTTGTGTTGATACACCAAGATTGCTGGCAGGAGAAATAACTGAATAAATGGAGGCTAATGTTTTCATACACAGGTGACTCTTTGCAATCTGTTTGTTAAATAACTCAGTATAAAAATTACAAACTGAGAATGAAATTGATTTGTTGTTTTCATTCGTGATAGTGTAGCGAAAAATTTACACAAGATGTCTATACATATTAGTTTAATTTATCTTTTGACTATTTGATGAAAGCATGGTTGTTCTCAGCTCTGGGTAACTTTGCAGTATAGTATTAAGACTCACTAATACTGCTTATTTGCGTGATTTTGACTCAAATTATAGCTTTTGGGAGCTAACATATATCGTATGATGAAGTAAGCATTATGGTGACATGTAATTCAAGTTCACGTCTAAACAGTCTAAGTTTTAAAATCAAAACCAGCGAAATAAAACTTTAATCATAGTTCGACGGGAATAGAATAGATCCTGTTACGACAAATCGTGTTCATCGAACAAAACATATTTTATCATCATTATTAGCATAGATTGTAACGTGGAAATGGCATTAAAATTAGAGTATTAGAATAACAGTATAGTTAAAAGTACTTCTGGACAAATCATTGCTAATCAGAGTAAAGATAAACATAGATTTTAGATTGCAATGAATAAAATATATCAATGAAACTATGCAAACATTCAATCTCAGATGAAACATTTATCATAAAGGACCTAACTGTGGGAAATAATGACAGCCATACAATCAATCAAGAAGGATACTGTGTTTTTATTCACTGTTTATTAGAATCACATTGCACCGCAATTCATTAAAGGACATAATTAACGTAAACATCGGTAAGTATATTACTTTCTCATTTAAAAAAATAAATGAAGCAGTTGAAAGCTCTTTGGTGTTTCCTGCAATTAGAAAACTACACATATACAGCGAGAGATATTTACTAAAAATAAACCATACATGATGTAGATAGAGAAAGGCAGAAAACAAAGCGTACTGAAACATTTCAAAAATAAAAAAAAATCAAATTTCCAGAATTCAATATTAGTTGACTCAAATCCGTTCAAAATAGTGCATAGCTATCCAAAATAAGCTAGATTATAAAAAAGTAGACAACACATAGAGAGCAATAGACAGTCTGAATATAAATTATTCACTAGATAGACGTGTCAATAATTGAAAAATATGTTTTCCTTTTTTTATTGCTGATTACCTGATTATTATTATTCATACAGAATATAAAACCACAAAAATATTTCTGTAAAAAGAGGCAAATATGAAAAACTGATTGTGATTGGCTACCTGAAACAATTTTGTATAGTCCATGAGATGCATGTATAGGTGTAAAAAAGCAAATAAGCAAACAGAAAAATATACAGTGACAACCACGAAAAATAACGATTATGAAGGTGATTGACAAAATACATGCTTTTTTCTAGCTAACAGACGGAACTAAATGTATGAAAATAGTTACTGATACAACGCTTTACAAAAGTTTGCACTCTGAATAGAAATAAGTTACTTATCACAAATATATGTTGGAATCGGTGATAACGGAAATAAGATATTCGATAAATAAACAGTAGAATCATTACGTGCAAATAAGAACTTGAAAAAGAGAAAATGAGGTATTTTGAGTATTGGAAAAAAATTAAAGTGGAGATTTTTGATAGAGAAAATAATCGATCCAGTTGATGGCTTTCAAAAATCTTTATCGGATATATTTACAGCTTCATCGACTTTGGTATCAGCTTCAAGATATGTGTGACATCGAAATAGATCAGGCCAATACCAAGGCGAGGTAATATTGGCACCTGATATATTTGATGAACTAGATTCAAGAACTCTTTCTATAACAGATTTCTGATCACGTTTATTGGAATTCAGAGATGACCAAGGCACCTTTTGTGTATTTAATCGGAGCAGAAACAAAGCAAAAATCTTTCCCAGTACTAATACTATAACAGATTGATGAAAGACTGCCCATAAACGATAATTTGGTCCAGGGAATGGGTCACTTATAGCTGGACATAGCATATTGTTCAGATTTATTCCTGTCATCTGTAAAAAAAGAGGTAATATTAAACTAATCACTTGGAAATTCAGTTAAGTAATGCACAAATATTTTAAGAACTATTTCGTGACTAAGAGCGGTAAAAGAAAATAACTTACTTCCATTACGAGAGTACAATTCATCTATGAAGAACCACAGAATCGCAAACTGAAACAGTTTCAGAGACTTTTTTGATCAACCACACACCATCACGCAGTGATAAGAAAATCATGTTACTGATCAGAACTGTTTTACATAAAAGAAATCTATCGAAGAAGGAACGGTATGTTTTAAGTTCGGAAAAAGTGGAATTATCGATTAACAACAAAGGCTATAGCTATTTGCGACAAAGTAAAATAGGCTTATTTGTGAATTTATGTTTAAAATTATTCAATTGTTTATAAATAAACCAGCATATCACTGTGAAAAATTATATGAGAGGTCAAGACTTATTTCTTCTAAGAATGTAAAATACATAGGAAATTATGAATTGAGTTTGAATAGCAAGAACGCGTACACTCAGACATGATTATAGGGTTAATAACAGAAGTCAAGTAAACAGAGCTATCTAATCTGCTGATCCCTTCAACAAATAGCTGTAGAACAACTATGACTTTTCGAAGCAGTAATAAACTAAAATGCAATAATATGTGTGAATCTTACCTCGCATATATACATAAACATACTGTTCTGGGATTTTAAAAGTCAGTCATACAGTTACAACGTAGAACGCCTTACATATGTACATCAGTTCAAGTTGTAATACCCAACACTAGCACACACAGAGGCAGTTGTGAATTCAAATCTCATAGTAGTAAAAGGTGGTAGAATTATTGATGGTAACAGAAAAGAATGTGGATCGAAAATATGATTCGAAAGTGAAAAAAATTTAAAAGGAGAAAAAAGGTGATGAGGAATTCAGACTATTACAATTTGAGAGAAGACAAAAAATGGATGCATCTGTGCCATTGCTAACGATTTTAAAGGAGAAACATAATCAGCACAAAGATATGCGTTCAGAATGCAACAACAAAGAGTCTACTATTCTTATTATTAAATTGAGCAACCTATGTAAACTTAACATCGAGAAATAAAAGTAATCATTCAGTTTTAACCACAAGTGTTGTTTATTTTAAAATCTAGAAGATAATATACGCATAAAATGCCACATATATAACGGAGAGCTTTAGTAAATACATAAAATAAGCCTAACGAATTTGATAATTTAGAACAATTAGAAAAATTCAGTCAGTCAATTACAACGTGCGGCTTCGTTCGTACGTATATCAGATGAAATAGCTAAGAATATATTTCAGGAACAACTAGAAAAACAGTTAGGCGGCCATGTCAGTGATTCCCACCCCGAGGCAGCTTGGAATGATGTCCAAAAGCGGTGTGAATCGCAATGATATCTTCTAGAAAGGTAAAGCATAAGGTTAGGGAGAAACGGTGGATTTCAGTAGCATCGACTGCACTGATAGACGCTCGGCAACTCAGCCCGTCTGGCTCTGAACACGATGAGCAGCGGAGGCAGCTTAAGCGCAGGCTGATAAAAAGGTTACGCAGTGATCGCAAATAATGGTGGGTAGCTTAAGAAAAAAGACGGAAAAGACAGAGGCGACAGGTAACCGTAAACAATTATTAAGAATTATCAAGGAAACCGGAATTAAGAATCCGATTATCAGAGAGACTATCTCGAGAAAGGATGGGCAGAACGCTTTAGGGATCAATTCATCTGGCCTTCAGCTACACCTTGGTTACCCTAGATCTCCAGCCAACATGAATGGTGATTCGATGTAAGTACTCCGATTCTTAATGAAGTTGGGAAAGCTCTAGGAATTCTAAGGCGTGGGAGAGCGGCAGGCCCTGATAGATTGACCACCGAGATTTATAGGGATAGTAGTCAAGTTTTATCTATGAGATTGACTGAGATATTAGGTAGAATTTATGAACTGGGCGTAATCCTATCTGACTGGTCTCAACCACTGATTGTCCCAGTCTATAAAAAAAAACAAAAGTCCTCTTGTAACAAACACAGAGCAATCAGTTTAACTAATAAAGTGCTACTACTACTTGGACGCCTAACTAGAGGCCGTGAATAGCGGACTCGAGAAAACCAGGCTTGTTTCAGACCTGGACGTGGCTGTATAGACCAATTATTCACTCTTCCTTAGGTCCTAGAACAAAGACACGTTCAGACGTCTGACAATAGTTGTATTCCTTGACCTTAAAGAGGCACTCGACTCTGTCGGTCGTGAGGTTCTGTGGCAGTGTCATTAAAAGATTTGTCAGAGAAGTATATTAACCTTATACAAGCTGTCCAGTTGAACACCACTGGTCGAGTCAGAGCATATGGCGAACTGTCATCAGAATCGACCACCCCATGTGGTGTTTGTCAAGGTTGACCAGTTTCGTCATTCTGTTTCCGCAATGCTTCGTAGACACCTGTGGTTGAAAACCAGTAACCTAAGAATATCCTCTGCTCTTATCGGCCATGTTTTACACATATAGGGGGACGCAGCGAATTGCTGCGCAGTAGCTTCGTCTATTGGTTAGTAGACGGATTTCTCGCCTACGCCGTTAGTGAAGTGATTTGGCAAAAGCTAGTGAAGCATTCTTTGCCTCTTTCTACTTTATGGCTGTGAAACATAGTCAGTCAGAGTACAGGATATTCGTAGGTCAATATTATTCGATCACCTATGTCTTTGAAGCAATGCTCATATTACCTGGGACCACCGGGTAAGAAATGCTAGGGTTAGGGAAAGGGTCCTAGGTAAGGAATGCAGATCAATAGATGAAGTGGCGAATCTTGATCAGTCAAGGTGGTTGGGACATGTGTTACGTATGCCCAACCATCTAAATTCTTGACAATTTAGAAGTCGTTTTTTGAAGTCACACTGCAATAATTTAAAAGCACATTTCTATAAAAAGTCACGGTGATTTACATTCTCAAAACAGTCAATAGATGTGAGGTATATAAACCAACAAGACATAATATCAGAAATTGAATTATAACATACTATAAGACTACTGATATATAAGAAACACAAACATTGACAACAGACAGTTGGAAAAGGTGAACACATATCAATCAACAAATTTGTAGAATTATTACGACAAAGAATGGATATCTGAGACGATAACTACGGAAAGTGCCAAAGTGGTCGTCTAGATACAGTAAATAGCTACCACTATATCGCCTGTTATTTCCCTTTTGGAAGCTGAATATCCCAATCAGTAAACTGTCTCCGTATTTTTTGTTTCGATCATTTTGCTAAGTGGAGTGGAAATTCATCAAAGTCGTAATTCAATGAAAATAAAGCAACGGAGGTATATAAAGAAATTTTAAAATTTCATGAGCTATTTTACTTTGATATAAAGAGATCGTATTTTTCATAAGATCTAACTTACCAAAGCGATAGGTTGAAGAACTATGAAATGATACAGAACCTGTATACTTAGAGAAAATGTCACCCACGAAAAATCATTAATTGGTTCAACAGAAAATTCACCTATTGTAAAAGCAAGAAGCAAAATATTTTTAATTATAACTTTAAAAACTGAAATTCACTAAAATTATTCTAAGTACTTTAGTGTCTGGAAAGGAAAACTGCTATGTGCTTGAAACTTCTCGTTGATATTTAGTTTTTCAAAGGACCTATTGTATTAAATACAACTTAGTCAGTCAGTCAGATGCAACGTAGAACTTTGTACATAAGTACATCAGTTCATGTTGCCATACCACATCAGCACAGAGAAGTAATCGTCAATTCAAATCCAATACAACTTAACTCAATCATAATTAACGCAGAGCCTGGTATACACATACGTGAGCCGAAAATGGCATAATACATTAGCACGAGGTGGACTTAAAAAGAATAAGAAAGTGTTATAGCACTAACTGTTGACCAGTATCACGTAACAAATACAAAACTCCTGTCAGGGTTATATTTAGCACCAGAAACCTTGAGTCAGTTCTAAATCCTTATTGATCTACAACAAGGTAGTTTTTTCTTTCCATCCTGACTCATTTCAGAAGTTCGTAGCCAGCCTTCACAAAATTCGTTATATTTCAACCGCACTTAGTTTACATACAAAACAAACCATACTGCACATCATAAAATGAGAAAATATATTTATACACCAGCTAGCCAAAAGTGGCTGTGAATAGGGGAGTCTGTGAATAATAAACTGACAAGAGATTAAGAATAAGAAACCATAGGAAATTAGTTAATGGGTCAATCAAGAGCCTATGACAAAAGGAATATAAATATGCAATCATCTAGTTAGTTAAAAACGATACAATAAGAATATATATAAGAATAATCTACAAGTTAATCTTGGGAGTTACCACTTCTCTAATCCTCTTCCAGATATAGGATTAAGGCATCGAAATAATGCAACAGAAGCACCGAGCGTTAATAACTTGATACGAAGAAACAGAACTAAAAGATTTCCGGATATTCAGAAATCGAAAGAGAGAAGGGTAACAGTATCTGCACCTTTGTGACTGATTCTGAACTATGTTATACGATATCCTAAAAGTGATAGCAGGTTTTGTGTAAACCACAACCAGGTAGTTTACCTCAACATGACACAAATAATCATGAAGTCGCAGGGTTTAACACACTATTATCTACTTTAGTTTACGTAGCCGGATGATGCCATAAACTAGAAATGTGTTCGTCAAAGTCTACCACATAAATATGCATTTGGAAAACAGATCCAAGTGAACATCATATATTTGGTAAAAGCAAATGAAAATGGATGGACTACCTTAATCCATATTGTAACATCAACAATAACAATTATAATAAGATTATGCGAATAGAAGGGTTAGATAAAGACTGTTTTATTTTTACTACTATTCATAGCATTTTTGACAACCAACTTACAAAATTTTGTATACTATAGACAAAAAAAACGTTTTTTATTAATTATTTTTATGTACTTATCCAGCCAAGTATTTTTAGTAGCTTATTCTTAACACAGCAAACCAAACCATAATACAAATACTAAAACATTTGTATTTAAACTATGGTAAATAATAGAAATGGACGAAACAGAGATTTAAGACGGAAACACTCATCTGATTAAAATACACTCTTATCTGTAGAAAAATAAGCACCTTTATACGAATTTACTGGTTGTATCGGGAAAAAAATTGAAACAGTCGATTTGACCAATTTAACAACAAAACAGGACTTACTGCTCTGATTCAAGAAGCTAGCAGGAATTAAGATAATCAAAATATGTTGTACGAAGTAGATGGCATGTTCGAATGGCAGCTTTAAAAAAATAGAAAGAACTAATTAAGAACCCTTGTAATATACAAGTCATCAGATTTCTTATAAAACTTAGTCCACTCAAGAGAGCACACCACTCAGTGATGTTGGAAATCGCTGAGGTTTGACACGATTATTATAGCTTCAATTATCTTTATTACACCTAATCATACAACAGATTTCTTTATCCAAAATTCTTAATCCTTTGCTGTGTAAAAGACACGAGTTAAGCCTCTAAAAATCCCAGTTTGGATCCTTCGGAATCTCTAATTTTAAACTGAATCAAGTCTCGAATGATAAAAGTATAACCGTATAGCCTGATTGAATGATCCGGAAAATCATTCGAAGAATGAAACCCAGATAACATGAATAGTGATTCCATTTAAAGTTTTCAAGGTTATTTAAAGTAACGAAATGTGTTTACCTATGTAGATAGAAGTGCATTTACGTACTTTTTTAAAATTATAACCGAGTCAGCTGAAAATTCTAACTAGTAGGATAAAAATGTTACTTACTGAACATACGTTCATCACATAACGTTTCAACAAAAACGAAATTAATGAAAGCTCAATAACAGCGTTTCTGCTAACAGGAATCAACTATCAGCCTCGCAACACACTGACTGATTAAATATTTTATAAATCTCCAGAGTATATTATGTTCTAGTCAGTCAATTACAGGGAAGCGATAACTTCAACATATCGTGAGGTTTTGGACCACAATGATTAAAAGGAAGCATGAAACAACCACACGACACAACGAAGAAGCTCGCTAAAGAATGTAATAAATCAAAACGACCAGTGAAAAACTAGGAAGCCGAACCAATCACCGACACTGTATAACAGACAATAAGTGGATGGAGAACGTCGAAGAACTCTTTAATAGATCAACCTCACTGAATCCACCCAACATTGAAGCGGGACGCACAGACCTACCAGCTGTTGTTGATGCAAGAACAATCGAAAAAATCAGCATGGCCACCAGACAACATTCCAACAGAGGCGCTAAAAGCAGATGTAACAGAAACTGCAAAGATACTCCGCATTCTCGTCAGTACCAACAGACTAGAGGGTAGGACACCTCAACAGGAAAACTAAGAAAGGCGATCTCAACAAGCGTGAAAACTACTTAGGCATCACTTTCCTCCCAGTACCAGGAGGTCTTCAGCAGCGAGCTCTTAAAGAGAATAAAAGATTCCGTAAACGCCCAACTTTGAGATCAGAAGGCTGGATTCCATCAGGATCGACCATATACCGGCCAGATAGCTACGTTTCGAATGATTGTGGGACAACCCACTAAATGGAATCCTCCACTGTACATCAAAATCAATGACTATGAGAAAGCATTCAACAGCGCGGACAGGACAACATTATGGAGGATTCTTTGACACTTCGGCATGCCTGAGAAGATAGTCAACATGGTCTGAATCTAAGCATGTGCTCCAGAACGAGCGAGTCTTTTACTGAATCGCTCCATCGGTGGCTGATAGCAATGTGATATAGTTGGGACGACTTCAACAGTCGCCACGTCAAAAGATGATCTTCCTTTTGCTTAAAGGTAGTACTTGTTAGAAATGGGCGCTTTTATATGGGTATGAGGGCTGATGTCGCTTTCCAGCTGACTACACCGTGGAAAGGTATTTCGTAGATAATTTGAAAGGTAAATAAGATTAGCGTCGGTTTTAGAGACCCCGGAGTGTGACCGCACGGGCCATGGGAAGATTGTTTGAGGCTGGTCACGCATGGCCCTCTTATCGGAAGGTTTTGAAGTGTTAGCTCCGCTCTTGTTTAAAAGGCCTTACTACCGGAGGCGGAAATCTGTGAGGTAAACTGAGGTTTGACATTCTTATGTTCAACATTCTCTAAACACTTACTTCCTTGTGAGAAGGCAGAATCGCTGCAGAATTTGGTTGTCCAAAGTGAAAACCTTACTGCCGTCACACCCCACTACAATAGTCAGCAGTACGTCTTCACCCTCAGACCTCCAGTTGCTGCTTTTAGTCTTACCGTTCTCCAGTCGATCTATCCAGCCAATATAGCTCGGTTGGGTCATCACGATAGGTAAACGCGACCACTACATCAAGAAAGCGGCTACATCAAAGGACTAGTGTACTGAGCAGCAGTTCACTCCGTCCTACTATATGGACGTGAAACATGGCCAGTAAGAGTTGAGGATATTCACAGGTTACTTGTGTTCAACCATAAGTGTTTCCGAAGCATTGCTCGTATATCCTGGGACAATCGAGTAGGTAATGAAGTTGTTCAATCAATCAACGGCAGCGTAGAACTTCGTATGTACGTACATCAGTTCAAGTTGCCATACCATATTAGCGCAGAGATGTAATTGTCAAATCTAATCCCATAGCAGTGAAAGTGTTAACAGTAATTGGAGGAATCAGAGCTCGAAAATATTATTCAAAAAGTAGAATCTAGTGATGATAGTAATCGATGGTTGGAAATCCTGAGTGACATGGCTCAAAACCGTTTGCAATGGCGCAGGTGCATTTACTCTTTGCGTTCTTTGAAATTCTAACCTGAATTCCTCATCAACTCTTTCTCTGTCTAAATTTAACTCACTGAATTACACTTCTTAAATAATACCTTCGAACCCTGATTCCTCCGATTACTGCTAATACTTATACTAATCAATCAATCAATTGCAACGTAGAACTTCGTACGTACGTAAATCAGTTCATGTTGCCATACCACCTTAGCACAGAGATGTAATTGTCAATGCAAATCCAATAGTAGTGGAGGAAGTATTAGGTATTAAAAGTAGTCGGAGAGGTTAGGATTAGAAAATATTAATCAAGAAGCAAAATCTAGTGAAATAGACTTAAAAAGATAAAGTGACGAGAAATTAAAAAGTTTAGGGTTTGAGAGAACACAAAGAATGAATGCATCTGCGCCATTGCAAACGGTTTTGAGCCACGTCATTCAGGGTCTCTAACCATCGATTACTAACATCTCGTGGACCCCAACCAGGTAACCTACATCTACCAACATGACTCAGTCCACTTGTCAGTGACTTCATGCATTTCTGCCATGTTTTGGTCTGGCCGCCCCCAGCTTTCGTCCAACCTATTCCTACACGGCAAAATGTAGCTCGATAAGGCAGTCGGCGGTTAGGCATACGCAAAACATGTCCCAACCACTTCATCTATAGATCTGCTATCCTTACCTAGTACTCATTTCTTTATAACAGCATTGCTTACTCCGTTGTCCCACGATATACGAGCAATGCTTCGAACACATCTATGATCGAAAACTAGTAACCTACGAATGTCCTTTACTCTCAACGGCCATGTTTCGTATCCATATAATAGGACAGAGCGAACTACTGCGCAGTACGCTCGTCCTTTAGTCAGCAAACGGATATCTCGCCTACGCCATAAGTGACGCAGGTTGGCAAAAGCCAATCGAGCCTTCTCTATCCGTGCTGAGATTTCGTCAGTCACCAGGCTATCAGCACTGATGAGACTCCCCAGATAAGTGGAGCGGTTTACACGTTCGACTACTTCACTCCCTATCACTAGTTCAGGTGCTGATCCAATCCAATCTTGAAGCAACATTTTGCATTTCGAGGGGAAAAACCGCATGCCGAACATGCTTGCATTGTTGCTTATGGTAGTCAGAAGACTGCATTTTGTCAGCGTCTTCACGGAATAGAACTATGTCATCGGCATATTCTAGGTCAATATGCTATCCTTATGGTAGATGGTCCGCCCCGGAAAAATCTGACGAGGATAATGTTAACTCTAAAAGGATGTCTACAACAAAGTTGAACAAAAATGGAGTGGACAAAACCTGAAGGACACCACTTGAAGTAGAGAATTCCGGTGACAGTTCGCCATAAGCTCTCACTCGACCAGTGGTGTTCGAGTAGAGAGCTTGTATAGGGTTAATGTACTTCTTTTGTACACCTTTCAATGACGGACACTGCAACAGAACCTCACGATCCACTGAGTCAAATGCCGCCTCATGGTCCAGGAAGACAACTACTGTCGGACACCTAAATGCGTGTCTGTATTCCAGTACCTGTCGTAATGTGGAGATGTCTATACAGCCACGTCCAGGTCGAAAACCAGCCTGGTTTTCTCTAGTCTGCTCTTCACGAGCTCTACTTAGGCGTTTAAGGATAACTAAGGCTAACAATTTAGACACTATAGTGGTTAGACACTACTTCTACTACCATGAGATTTGAATTGGCAATTACATCTCTGTGCTAATGTGGTATGGCAACTTGATCTGATGTACTGACGTAGAAAGTTCTACGTAGATGACAGACTAGTACAAGACTTAGATAAGGAATTAAGCACAAACACGGAATATAAATAATAAGAAACAGTAGATTAACATAAAAATCACTAAGAACTCACGGATCGGGTGTTCAATATCGGGAAGGTCAACGCCAACAAAGGACCATTTAGCATATGTAAGTGGACTCGAAAAATGAAAGTCCTGAGTGAAGATGATGGTGAGGCCAAGAGTAATATCTAGAAGGTAGCAAAATGCAGGTTTTACATTTATGAAACCAGAAGACATAATCAGAATGTTGGGAAAGTAGTTACTCAAAAGTACCACTAGAACACCTGCAACCAGTATGATCGGATTTCTTAGTAAAAGGAAATATCCATTTATTAGCAGTGAGGTATAGATGGATAGCTATTACATACGATGATTTTATCTACCTCTTATAAACATAATTTGAAGTAAACTGCTTTGAATGTCGAATATTTTGGTTAAGGTTACAGTCAGTAAAAACAAGGCTATAGGTGTAAACAAAATGTGATGTGAGTCCGTAGTCACTGACTGGTGAATTGTATAAATGAGGTGTAAATGCCAAGATCGATGCAATAACGCGCAAAGCCATTTTCTAACAAGTTGCCCTGCTCATTAAAATTTTAGTTCCCTGCAAAGAGAGTAGCTGTCTGCAGAGTACGGACGAACTACACTTAGATTAGACATCTGATATGTTGGGAACGTTAAGGGAATAATGAATAGATCCAAATATTACTGAGGAAATCTGAAATAAACTACCTGTAATATGGTTATAACATGGCAAGGATTTAGTATCCATATAAACGTGCTAGTGGCAAGTTTGAAGCCAATTTCAATACCGAATACAAAAGTATGTAACACAAGAAGTAGCTGTCCCAGCTTCGTTTGCTGACTAGAATGAAGATTTCCAACGTTAAACCTTGGACACGACCGATAGAGAGCATACAAGAATGTTATGCAAACACATGTAGATTCGAAGCATCTTCGTTTCGCAGTGATATAATTAATGCAACTTTGACCACCCGCTCCCTCTATACTTGTATTTACACCGATATACGTCCAACGTAGCATATCCCCAGAATCTTGTGTAGGGGTTTGGTTTAATCTATAACAACCTGATGCAGTACAAAGAAGCACTGAGCTTTCTCGACCTTACGAAAGGTAGAGGGCTGCGACTACACCGCATTGAAATTTCATTCGAAATCCCTCTCGCGCTCAACGTATGCTGATCAGAAATGACAAAACAAATTTAGCTCGACAATATCAAGTTGACATAAATTAGATGATTTATTTTACCTTTTCTACTAGCTTCATAAAAACGTTTGGTTATCGATTAACCCCTTTTTGCGATTTACTTTCATTTTTCGCAATAAGACAACCTACAGTAATACGTAGTTTGTATGCTAACCCATTGTGATCCCTGTTGTATCTTTGTCTACGAACACAGTGATTTGTATTAAAGCCTTCTTAATTCAAGGTAACAAACATCATCTGATTGGATAGGACTTTCTAGTCGTGGACCTACAGCGGCAAATGTATCCCCGAAATAAATAACTTCATATGTTTTCGACACTGATACTAACCACTTTGGTGTTGTTGGGAAAACCGCAAGCCAAACGTGCCCAATAAGGCAAATTTCGATACTCGGTACTGCACGTTCGACGGAATAATTAGCAGTTTAAGATTTTCCACGTCAGGATACAATGATCAATTATTCAGATATATTTTTATATCCCATCATCCAGGACGCTTGATTTCACTAGTTTTAAGAACAGTGAATAAAAATAGGAAATCTTTTGCAATTTTTTGAAAGATTTTAATGTACTGTTTGTTTTCCGTGACTTTTTCTTGTAAACTTATATATTTCGACTTTATATCCATAGATTTTACTACCAAGCTCATTCATATCTAGATAAAAGCATCCCCCCTTTAGTTCCCACCAACCTGACTCTATAACATCTAAAGACATTTCTGTTTTGCATATCCTAATCCCCATGGTAACAGAATTGGAAACCCATGCGCAACGGTCCCTACATTAATAGAGAAAAGTTACATTTAGTGTGTCCAAAATCGATGTCTTAAAAAGGCTTTTCTTTAAAAAAGGAGATCTAACTACGCATCAGATGTTCGATGAACCCTTTTAGAACACAGAACTTAAACAATGTTCGGCCACAGAAGTGTTGTTTGAAGTGAGAGAAACAACTGGTCTACCGATTTACCATGAAAGTGTGAACTTCTTGTTACAGGCTTAGGATCCATTCGTGTAACAAACGGTAGACCTTGTAGTGTGTACTTATATATCGAACTCAGCCTCGTTTTATTCATTCATCTTCCTTCCTTGAAAATCATTCTCTTATATCTGAGCTGTATTTATTCGAGCGTGTGTTTACATGCTGACTTCAGTTATTATTTGTCTAGCCTATTGTTGCATGACTATAAATAATTAGTCATACCTCTTTGCGTTGAGTGAGCTTCTCCACTTCGCTTAGCTTTGTTCTTACATTTTGTATTCTCATGTCTGTGTGCATGAATGATTGCTTGAACTAAACTCATCCAGTAGCATCCCTATTCGGGTTCTTATTACCTCCGTAGCACAAATGGGATTCAATTAAGAACAGTATGCATAAATGAAAGGAAAGATATATACTATCGTTCGTATGAACTGGATTCGAATTCCGGGAGACCATTAACTTCATATTTTCTACTCGATTCACTATCTGGTGAATACTTTCACAATCGATTCAGATGTAATCTATTTCAGGGACAAGTAATGCTTTTGTAAAGGGTCTTGTCGTATGCGATTTCGATCAACTATTTAGGAAAAATTAACATCGTTAATCTAGCTCAAATTCTAGATGAAATCACTGATCTGTTTAGGTTATTGCGGATGATCTTGAAATTAGGAATCAAAAAGGTATCAACAGGTGAGGAAAGATTACCGTGCAACACATTTACTCGTACAGATCATTCAGCTGTACAGAATGGTTACCGCATTGCTCAGTCAACTTTATCCAGTTATACGAGAAGTCATCAAACTCAGCAGAAGGACTTGGGCCTTCAGATATGGACCAAGACATGAGAAAGTAGGCGCGACCCTGCTAAACCACTACATAACCTCAAGTAACTTTGCATAAGAAATACCTTTCGCGTTTTTGCATGACCCCCCAATGTTGTTTAGTTTGCCTCTATCTGAACCTACTACAATCAAAGCTAGAATTTATAGGGCATTTATGTCCTTTTGCCTTTCTAAATCATCCTAAGGAATGGACACAGTCAACTCATATTCACGTTGCTAACTTTCTTTATTGATGTAACTAGGACTTCGCCTGATCACCAGCTCATGAACACAAGTCCGAATCCATGCTTTTACGGCTGACAGACGACAACCATTACTGGACCCTAATTACTCTGATCCAACACTTCTGGCTTTCAGAATCCAAGCAAATAAATTACTTAAAGAATTTCTAAACCTCACTTTCAATAACCCGAGAGAGCTCGTCAGATATAACACTATTGTACCGTTACTTCTAATTGCTGTTTTCTTTGTCTTGCTTCAACAGTGATACATCAGAAACACAAAGATAGCGGTTCGACAAGACGGTCTAGTAAGCACCACGAATTTGATTGCTATATGAATCACTGGATGTTAAGTGTTTTAATACTTCGGCTTCGCTAACCTACACTTTAGAAAGCTTCTCGGTAGTCACTCGACTATGAGCTCCTACTCCCTATCCACAGGACAACAGCTTGATAGGAAGGTCCCACCGACATTCGAAAGACTCCAATTCAGCCTCAAACAGTCTAGTATAGGTCTATCATTTTACACTAAGCTTGAAAGTAATTTCTACCTCGGTAAAAACCGACCGAATTCCCTTGAAACATAGGTTGCTTTTTGTAGAACTCCGGGTCTCTCCATTATGTTTAACCTCTGTGAACCCGGACTACTGTGCGAATATGCACAAAAACGCTGATTATTCATCTCAAACCTCTCCACGTGATTATAATAAACCAACGTCTTCGATTTGATGTTCTTACGATATGATAAACACGTGTTTATTTGTCGTAGTTCTCTGATCTAACGGAGATTATACGAAATTCGCTACCGTGAAGCATGATGATGAACTGTAGGCAACCTGAAACCAGAAGAAATATTAACGTCAGATGTTGAGGTGAACCGCTCAAAACTAGAAAAAATTACACGAATGTCTGCTAGCCAATAAATAAATCTGGTAGTATATAATTATCTTACCGAATCAATAAATTTAAATAGAACCCTAAGGTTCTCAGAACACCTAGACGACTGATTTGTAAAGCATATTTAATCACAATATCTGTGTACCTCGTTTTTGAGTTGTGAAGCAACTACTGCGTCGAAAAGTCACAAATTCCAAAATAAATTCTGTTTGTATTTACCTTGGATCAATAGAAATCCTCTTCGAGGATAATTTATGACAGACGAACAACATATATAAGCGTAAAATGTTTTTTTCAACTGGATCGTCACCAGGCTTTACCCTAATATACAAAAATATTTATATGGAAATGTTGGACCAATAAAGACACGTAATACTTACTTACTTACGCCTATTACCCCCAACGGAGCATAGGCCCCCCACCAGTTTTCTCCAACCAACTCTGTCCTGGGCTTCCCTTTCCAATTCTGTCCAATTTTTGTTCATTCTTATCATGTCTTTCTCTATTTCTCGGCGTACTGTGTTCCTTGGCCTTCCTCTTTTCCTTCTGCCTTGAAGGTTCCATGTGAGGGCTTGTCTTGTGACGCAGTTAGGTGCTATTCGCAGTGTGTCTCATATCCACTTCCACCGCTTCTTGCTGATTTCCTCCCCCACTGGAATCCGGTTTGTTCTCTCCCACAGTACGTTGTTGCTGATGGTGTCTGGCCAACGAATCCGAAGTATTTTGCGTAGACAACTGTTAATAAATACTTATATCTTCTGGATGATGCCTTTCCTAGTTCTCCAAGTTTCCGCTCCATACAGTAGAACTGTCTTGACATTTGTATTGAATTTTCTGATATTGGCGTTGATTGATATTTGTTTTGTGTTCCAGATATTTTTCAATTATAGAAGTGCAGCCCTTGCTTTGCCAATCCGTGCCCTCACATCGGATCCACCTTTCTCGTCGATGATGCTGTCCAGATATGTAAAGGTGTTAACGTTCTCCAAGGCATCTCCATCAACAGTGATTTGGTTGGTGCATGTTGTGTTGCATCGGAGAATTTCGCTTTTTCCTTTATGTATGTTGAGACCTACTGCTGCAGAGGTTGCTGCTACAGTGATCGTCTTCTCTTGCATTTGTTGTTGCATGTGCGGTAGAAAAGCCAGGTCATCTGCGAGGTCCAGATCGTCCAGCTGCGTCCTGGCTGTCTACTAAACACCGTGCTTCCCTCCAGATGCTGACGTCTTCATAATCCAGTCGATCACCAGGAGAAAGAGAAACGGTGAGAATAAGAAACCTTGCCTGAAAGCGGTCTTTACTTCAAATGAGACTGACAGCTGTCCTCCGAGCACAATTTTTCAGTTGAATCCATCATGAGAATTCCGTATGATGTTAACTATTTTCTCAGGCACACAATAGATCAGATATCCTTCTTTCCTGTCTTTTGGTGCTTGTTCTTCATCCTAAATCTTCTTGAAGAGGGTGTGGAATATTTTTACGGTTGCTTCCACTGTCTCCGCTGGAATGTTGTCTGGTCCTGCTGCTTTCCTGCTCTGATGGCCATGATGATCGCTTCAGTTGTAGGTGCAGCAAAATCGATTAGGAGGTCTGTGGATGCTGCTTTGATGTTGGGTGGGTTCAGTGGAACTGGTCGATTCAAGAGTTCCTTAATGTGCTCTAGCCACCTATTTCTCTGTTCTTCAGTGTTGCCGATTACTTTGCCTACTTTACTTACTTGCTTTTCACTGGTCGTTCTGGTTTACTACAGTTTCCTGCGAGCTACTTTGTTGTATCGTACAACTGTTTCGTATTTCTTTCTCTGGCCGCCTTTTTCGCTGTCATTGCTAAATCGTCCATATATTTTCGTTTGTCGGCTCTGATGCTCTTCTTCACTTTCTCGTTTGCTCCTGTGTATTGAGCTTTTGCGTTAACTGTCTCTGCTCTTGCTCGGCTGACATTGATTACTGCCTTCCTGTTCCTCCTTTCTTCAATTTTTGCAAGAGTACCAACAGAGATCCAATCCTTGTGATGGTACTTCCTGTGACCCAGAACCTTCTGCCATGTTGAAGTGATCGCCTCCTTAATCCCTTTCCAATTGTTCTCCAAGGTTGTTTCCTCTCCATCGAGTAGACCATGCAAGGACTGGAACTTGTTGCTTGGGGCTATCTTGAATTCGTTGAGCTTTACAGTATCCCGACGGAAGGCTGTATTAAACTTCTGTGATGTTGTCTGTCCCGTTTTCCAGGTTTTCTTGAGTTTCAGTTTTGTTTTAGCGAATGGCAAGTGGTGATCTGAGGCTATAACAGCTCAACTCTTGGTTCTCAAATCCACCATAGTCCTTCCGAACTTTTTATTGAAATAGATATGGTTGATTTGGTTCTGAGTAGTGTGGTCCGGTGAAATCCATGTGGCTTTGTGAATGCGTTTGTGCGGGAATATTGTGCCACCGACGACCAGTTTGTTGAAGGCACATAGGTTTGCAAATCTCTCACCGTTTTCGTTCCTTTCTCCCAGTCCATGTCGTCCCATGATGTCTTCATATCCAGTGTTGTCCATGCCGACCTTCGCATTTAGGTTGCCACACTGCTGCCTTTTTCTCTCTCCCTTCCCCTTTTCAGAACCCCATTCACGGTGGGAAATCATTGGCGACTCTAGGGAACATGCACCCAATGTACATGACTGTCTGGATAACAGCTCGCATCAAGCGCGTTCCATATGACCTTTCCCAACAAATTCACTGTTGATCTCGGCCAATCGCCAAAAGAATCTATTGTGCACCTTCCTTCCTTATTTGTACTCTAATATTGAAAATGTGGCTGTATAATACTGTTTCTGTCAGTGACATGGTGTAAATATGCAATCAGAAACTGGCTCTTATACTTCATTTAACTGCTATAACTTTACAGTAATTGTGAAAGCATTTGTGACAATTTGATCTAGCCTGTAAACTGGCGTGACTCTTGTAACGTAGTTATTTGAGAATAAATATATTATTATTATTATCAGAATGGTCAAATCCTTTGATGAGCATCTGTCGACGATTGACTGCAGCCTTTCATAGAATTGATCTTTAACGTCGTCATTGTGGTCATTGGTAGGTGCATAACATTGGATGACGTTCATTGTAATGTCCGCTTTCTTTGTTTTGAAGGATGCTTTAATGATCCTGGGTCCATGATATTCCCATCCTATCAGTGCCTTTTGTGTTTGTTTGGACAGCATCAGTGAAACTTCCTGTGTATATGAAGCATTTTCCTCTTCGTGACCAGAGTATAACAGCAGATCCCGTGAAGCTAGTCTCAGTTGTCCCACCTATGTCCAACGCGTTCCACTGATGCCGAGCACCTCGAGGTTGTATCTTTTCATTTGTGCCGCAACTTGAAATAGTCTTCCAGTCTCCCACAATGTACGAACGTTCCATGTAGCTAGAAGAATGGTTGGTGTGGTTGTCAGAAGGGGCATCGGCCCCGTGACTTCCGAGGGAACTCGGCTTTCATCACGCGACGTCATAATTCTCCTTCCAACTCCCAGGGCAGAGTTAAATCGGTTTGAATTACTTTTACTGGTTGGCGTTTTTTTGGCAAGATAGATTTTTGGTGGGATGGGGTCGCCAACCCCATGTTTAACCGTCCTCCTTCATCCGGTCCTTGGACAGTCAGTAGCCACGAAGGTTACTATTCGAGTGGTATATTGTAAATGTCAATCCCTTCCTAACGAAGTTTAGTCCAGTCTCCTCAAAAAGCAGAAGCCGTATGAATTCAGACATTTTGAAATTGTAACAGAAAGCATTTTCTCACTGCTGGACAGTTTATTTTAGATCACCTAAATGGTAGTAATCAAACTGTAGGTAATGAGTGAACAAAATGTCATGATTCTTAAAGTAAAACTACTTACAAAAGATACATTGCAAGCATACTTCAGTTGAAATAAGAAATAATCAAGGTTTCTCGATTCAAACAAAAGCAACTGAAAAGTGTTGGACCAGTATGGTAGCTGCAATAGCTGAGACTAAGTACAAAAAAAATATCTACCAACCAGAGAACACTTGTTCAAAAATAACACCATGGTGAGAACATGACTCCAGTATGTATGAGCGTTACATTTGTCTTTGATCAAAGATCAAATGTCATCTCTAAAAGTGTAAAAGTGGGATGAAAACATAGCAAGTAAAAAATAAATTTTCTCCCTCTAACGTGTTCACGCGAATTCTAACCAAAAGATCTTAATGTCTCATCTTATTGCGTACCCGATATGCTATAAGATGTGCAGCTTTGACTTTTTAATAAATGTATCTGATTGGAGATGGCTGCTAAACATCATAGCTGAGATAATCGATTGACGACTGATAAATGTGGTTAATTTTTGAGAGTTCGTATCCTACCTACATTAACTGAACAAGCAGACTAAATTGTTTTAGTCAACAGTTATTCAATAGCTTTCCATAAAATTTGTTACTTTCAGGTGTAGATTATTCGTAGCTGTCTTGATTCTCAAGCATATGATCCTTAAAGTCATATAAGCAATAACCTTGGAGACTTATATCCGACGTTAAAAGCAAAAAAGTTAGCAGTGGTTAATACTAGAAAAATTGATGAACGTATAGTGAGTTGAAATAAATATACGCCTTCGCCGGATTACTAGGGTAAATCCCCACAATTCAGAAGTCAAGGAAAAGACTATTTTGGATGAAGAAGTATACTTTTTGCTAGCCTCGTGATATCGAAATAATATCGAGACTAGAGTACTGGAGCGGCCAACAACAACCGAGGAGAGGAGCGGAGATGGTAAAGACATGCTTAGTGCGCGAGAGATAGTCTTTATTACAGAAAAGCGAACGGAGTACAATATAACAATTATTGTTAGAAATAAGCGCAATAATAAATGTTTATATTTCATCAACTGTGTTATCTTCGTAAGAGAATACCACTACAAAGGTATGGTTCAATCATTTAAGTTCAGTCATCCTGCGTGGACTCTTGATATTTATACTGCTGAATCAAAAAGTGATCTTCAGCAGTCTTAAGAAGCATAATTCAGAAGAAAACATGGGTATTCAATGCGTCATAACAATTTTATTCGTACCAGTTCTGAAATCAAAGATCCCGAAACCGTTCAAACCAAGAGTTTGGGATTGGAATATCCCTGGTGTATTAATAGGCGTGTGATTTGAACATCCCAGCTGGATGGATAGCACATCATACGTAATAATGACATGGAGAAGATGAGTGACTGAACTACTTAAACTATGAGCCCAGAGGTCTTAAGTTTGAGTACATTCATACCGATAGCTGTTATATTGTGATTCCTGAAATATAATCGTACCTCTATCACCTTAGCCTCGTCTACCGAAGACTCTTAAATAATGACATCACTGTAGACATCTCACAGTTTCAAATCGAGACCAACTCCTGTAGTGGCGATCGTATCGAGATTGACTATGATCACCACTGCAGTAATTACTAGCCAGACATAGAGGAGAAGGGTGGTTTCATGGTAAAAAACGTATTTACCGGCGATCTCGTGGTATCGCAAGAATATGAAAATCGTGCCAGAAAAGAGGGTCGAAATCACATAGACAGTGGAGCAAAAATGGTAGCGACACAAAACGGAAGTTCGTGCGTAAAGAGCCGAAAGTATAGTTAAACAATGACTAGTACGGCTGGTTATAATATTGAATGTTTCTATTTAACCAATCTTCTCTTCATAAAAGTGGATTTACTGCACTCTTTTGACTTTCTTGAGAATATCATTCACATTTAAGGTGCTCGTAGTCTGTAAAATATGATGGTGGCTGCTCCGGACTACTCAAAATCCAGTACAGTCAGGCAAATGAATACGTTCTGCAGAGTGGTAAGTTTCGACTGTGTGTTCGTAACAACGCCACCTTCGTAGTGTTACCTGAGCTGGTTTTCGAATTTCCATGTAGTTGATCTGTTAAGGTTTTCAGGTGTGATGCACATTTCGTCTCTCACATTCTGAGGCTGGTTGTTATATGTATGACTCAACAACCACTTCTGTCCATGATTATTGCCCACTTTCACCCCTTACTTAATGTGTTATGTCTTTCCATTATCAATGATGTTCTCCTTTCACCCTAGTACAAATCTCAAACTGTGGTGGTGCTTCGTTCTCTCTCGTTTGATGACGTTTGGTCTTAGACGACTATAATTGAAAACGTTCCGAAAGAACAAGAATCCAGCGCAAAGAAACCAAGTGGTTTGTCCTAGCTCGTGCAAGATATACTGTACATTGATCAGCGGACGTTTTGAATATCCTCTTTACTAAAAGGCATGGGGAAGAAAATTAAAGCAGGGAAAGCAAGGAAGGACAAGTTCTATTTCCTTGCCAAGGAGACTGGTAGATTGAACCTAAGATAGTCAATTTTTATGTATTAGGATTCCGGTCTAGAGCAGCGTTCAAATTGATACAGTTAAATCGTCGCTTCAAGTTTCTAAATTCCTCCAAAGTTCTAATAGACCTATGTGCTGCTCCTGGAGGCTGGTTGCAAGTTGCGGCCAAGGAAATGCCAATGACTAGTCATATCATAGGGGTGGACTTGGTGCCTATTCACCCTATTCCAAAAGTTAAAACATTTATTGCGGATATTACAACTGACAAATGCAAGCAGGTTTGAATGTAGTCACCTAAATAATTTGCAACAGATTTTGCGAAGTGAGTTGAACGAGTTAAAGGCCGATGTTGTTCTACACGATGGTGCCCCTAATGTTGGGACTGCTTGGTCAATCGATGAATACGGCCAAGGTTAGTTATTTTGTCTTAATACATCTTCATTAGCTGTCCTATCGCTTAATTCATTTGCTATTGCGGCTGAATTCTTGCGCAGAGGTGGTTGGTTTGTTACTAAGGTATTCAGGAGTCGGGATTATGAGCCGCTGAAATGGGTGTTGTCTCAGTTTTTTCGCACTGTACGTGCTATCAAGCCTGAAGCCTCTCGACTCGAGTCTGCGGAAATATTTCTTGTTGGACAGTCTTACATCGCTCCAGCACGCATCGATCCTAAGTTTTTCGATGCACGGCATGTGTTTGGAGAAGTTGATGCCCCAAAAGATCGTTCTGCGTTGGTTTCTTCGTTTTTAAAGGAAAGTCGTAAAAAGTAGGCTCTTTTCCACGTACTTATTTGATTTTGAGGAAAGCTGAAGGTTATGACGAAGGAGACACATTGTACCATGAACTTCCACTATCAAAGTTTTTGGAATCGAGTGATCCTTTAGAAGCTCTTGCGAAGGCTAACAAGGTATGTGATTTGATTTTGTGACTGTCGTAGGTTATTTTTGATGTCCCGGAAATTGAATGCCATCCGTTAACTACTGCTTTGGTTATGGAGGACTTAAGTGACATTCAGGTTCTTGGAAAAAATGATATTAAGTAAGTTGAACTTTACGTACAGATTTATTTCGTAAGGTCTGTTCTTTCGAGTTTGCAAGTAGTTTAGATAATCCTTAAAATTTGGAGCAGTATATCCTGTAAAACGCCCAGCGTTTGCAAGTTCCTTTTTTCCCGACACTTGATTAATAACGTGTAATTGGTTTCCTTGCAACGGCGGTTATCACAAAAACATTCTAATTGCATATATTTCCTTCGTACCAAAATAGTCTCATATTTGTCGAATGTTTTAATGATTTTAGTCAAGTAATGGTTGTTAGTAGAATGTAAACCACTTGCCACACTTATACGCTTTTTGGAATGTATTGATTGTTGACTACGTGGGGATTCCTGAAATTAGTTTTAACATTTGGTAAAACCCCTTTATTCATATTATCCCTACAAAGTAGTATTATTGCACCCTACAATTGCATAACCAAATAGGAAATACGGGTCTACAGCACAACTGAGCATATCATCAGCTGGACGTACATACGGTTGCTGAAGATGGGCGTAATATTTAGATTAGAACAACTAGATTTACACTTCACTTTCCCGAATACCGCACTTAAAACGAACAGGATTTATCTATTCATAGAAAGATGTTTGGTGATTGAAAAAAACTTTCCATAAAGCTGCTTAGAATTTAATGTTTTGCTCTTTAGAAATCTTCTTAAATGGAGGACGAAAATTCTCAGCGTATTTAAAGCTGAATCAAAAGAGTAAGTCAACACATATCTTTCTTTATTTCTTACCATATTTAAATTTTTATGATTCGGCGAGTAATTTTCCTATTAAAGAAATGGTATTTATTTATCAAGTTTGGATAGACTTCAACCTAAAAACTGAGCCTTTTGTGTGATACATTGTTCGTTTGTTTGCTCGAATTGTATAATATAAAGCAGTGAAGATACTTGTTTCGGTAAAAGAATCCCTTCATTACATTCTTAATGCCTTCACTGTAGAATTATAATAACCTTATTGTTTCTCATAGAACTAAGTGCAAGCTGTTTCCAGCTTTCTTAAAATTACTGTAATTGGGGTGCTAATAGTCAATAAAACTGAGAACTTGTATGAAAGAACTAAATTATGTTCATTGCACAACAATTCTGTAAGTATTTAAATTTATACACTTCTGATTGGTATTTTACCACTGATCTATAATCTAGGTTCTGTAGGTTCGTAGGTATGCATTCTGATCAGGATTAAGATAGTACTAGCCTGAGGTTTGGCTTATTGAGTTTCTAGATTGATTTTTCACTAGCTCCGAGTTTTTGTAAAGATCATCTGTTAAATGTGCATCAGATACCTAGCATGCATTACATAGACTTGGTTTCATATACTCTACAATTAACGAAGACAAACTATGATGAAGAGTAGAGAAACGGCAATCTAAAATAAACGCAATATGAACTACTAAAGATGTTCAGTTAAAGTAAGCAAATAGGTACCAACTCAAATGTACATTTAGCCTTCTGTAATCATTTTAGTACTTGGCAAAAACATGCGATGATCCAGATTGCCATGCAAAAATAATATCTAGCTAGTATTAACGGGGAGTATATTAAAATGCTACGATAGAATCGCCACTGACTTGTACTCCGAACTGTGTCCAACGATGTACAGTCACTGATTGATGATGATCCCATCTTAGTATTTGCAGTGCAATGTGTGCTAACCCAACAGTTATCCTTTGGCTTTCCTATAGAGTTTGCGTCATAAAATATCTCCCAGTATGACTTTCATCTAGATGGCATTTAAAGTATTATAAAGCTATCGAATCTAGTATATCAAGCTAGCAACGTTGAAAACTACCGATTCCATCAGGCCTGGACATGCATTAATAGACCTGAACATTGCCATCAAACTCGAGCGATTGTTCAGGGGTAGTTATGATCAAACTAAAAATGCCTTTAAACATATTGTAGAAGAGCCTTTCTCGATAAACATAGCTATTCATACCTTGTTTTCTTTTACACCCTGAAGTCACGATAACTCTCCCGACCGTAGCTGCTACCTTGACGTGGTGGTCGGGCTTGACTATCGTGATGACCCAGCCGAGCTATACTGGCTGGAACATATGTTCCTGAAGGTTCTACCATGCCAGGCAGGTCGGTTGGAGAACAATGAAACTAAAAGCAGCTACCCAAGGTCTGAGGGCGAAGTCGTACTGCTGACTGCAGAGGGGTGTGACAGCAGTAAGGTGCTTCCCTTGGATAACCAGCATCTGCAGCGATGTTGCCTTCTCACAAGGAAGGAAGGGTTAGAAAAGGTCGACCCTAAAAATGTCACACCTCCCCTACCTCACGGATTTCCGTCTTCTTGGGTAAGGGTGCCCACTAAGGGCTTTCAAGTGCGGAGCTAACACTCAAAAAACGTTTCATAAAAAGGCCGTGTGTGACTGGCCTCAAGCAGTTGTCCCTTGGGCTCTGCGGTCACGCTGCCAGGTCTCTAAGACCACCACTAATCTATCTTCGTTTTCAGGTCCCTCAAGAAACAACCTTCCACGGTGTGGGCAGCCGGGAAGTGACAACCGCCCTCATACCCGTACCAGCACACGAGACCAAATTGGTCAAAATCAAATCCTTCCTACACCCCTTAGTACCTCTCTTATCTCCACAACTAACTCTTCTCACATTCCTTTATCACACTGCACAGCTAATGCAAACTATGCGAGTTCACGAAACGTCATCCCTGGTCTTTTGAAACCCCGTTCTAGACTACATGTTGGAGCATTTAATGTACGTACATTATGTCAAATAGGGCAACAGGCTTCCTTAGCTAAAACCTTAGAATCTCGTGCAATCGATGTATGCTGCGTCTCGGAAACGCGCATACAGGATCCTAGTAAAGTCATTAATCTGATTTCGCCTCGTCAAAACAAAGAAGCAGCTCGATTTACTCTTCGTGTATCCGGTAACCCTGATGCTGCTTCCCGGGGTCTCGCTGGTGTAGGTATAGCATTGAGTCGTAGGGCAGAACTAGCGCTCCTAGACCAGATCCCAGTAGATAGTTGTTTATGCGCCGTCCGACTAAACGGGACAGTAAGGACTCGGAAAGATAGGGACACCTGTCGTTGCCTCTTCATCGCATCTGCCTATGCCCCCACTGAATGCAGTTCAGACGAGGTTGAAGATGAGTTTTACAGAAAGTGTTCAGACTCCCTCCAAAAAGCTAGGCGCTCTGATATAGTAATAATGGCTGGTGACTTTAATGCTCAAGTAGGTAGACTAGGTGAAAAGGAAAGACATCTTGGTGGATGTTATGGTGTCCCGGCTCAGAGAACAGACAATGGCGACCGTCTGTTGCAACTATGCTCAGATAACCGCCTATTCTTAGCAAACACTAACTTTAGGCATAAAGAGAAGCACCTTTTGACCTGGCGACCCCCGAAGTCGTCTCAACGTTGGACTCAACTAGATCACATCGCCATCAGCCACCGATGGAGGGGTTCGATAGAGGACTGTCGCTCGTTCTGGGGCGCAAGTTTAGTATCAGATCATGCCCTATTGCGAGCTCGTATTAGTTTGAGGCTTACTGGGAGTAGGAAAGATACCGTAAGAAAGCCTCTTAGGGTTCTACCTAATGACAATAAGGCTAAGAATATATTCCAGGAACAACTAGAAAGACAGTTAGGCGACCATGTAAGCGATTCCTATCCGGAGTCAGGTTGGAATGATATCAAGAAGGCTGTGGAAACAGCAGTGATATCTGCTAGTAAGGTTTACCATAAGGCTAGAATGAAACCGTGGATCTCAGTAGCATCCACCGAACTGATGGATGCTCGAAAACTCATCCCACCTGGCTCTGAACATGATGAGGAACGAAGTCACCTAAAGCGCAGGCTGATAAAAAACGTACGTAACGACCGTCAACAGTGGTGGGTGGTGAAAGCAAAAGATATGGAAAAGGCAGCGGCGATAGACAGCAGTAGACAACTTTTCTAACTTATCAAGGAAACTGGTATTAGGAATCTTAGTGTAAGTGAGACTATCTCGGAAAATGATGGGACTATTATTTATTCTCAATCCAGGAGACTGGATCGATGGGCAGAACACTTTAGGGATCAGTTCAACTGGCCTCGAGCCACTCTTCGGTTATCCACGATCTCCAGTCATCCTGAATGGCGAATCAACATAAGTCCTCCGAATCTTTATGAAGTTGAAAAAGCAGGGGAGAGAGGCGGGTCCTGATGGATTGACGCCTGAGGATTTTAAGGATGGTGGTCCAGTTTTAGCAGCTAGGTTGACTGAGATCTTAGGTAGAATCTGGGAACTGGACGTAATCCCATCCGACTGGTCTCAATCACTGATTGTCCCGATCTATAAGAAAGAACAAAAGTCTTCTTGTGATAATCACAGGGGAATAAGTCTAACTAATATAGTATCTAAAATATTGGCCTCAGTAATAATTCGACGCTTAACGAAAGCTCGTGAAGAGCAGATTAGAGAAAACCAGGCTGGTTTTCGACCTGGACGTGGTTGTATAGACCACATCTTCACACTACGACAGGTCCTAGAATAAAGAAACACGTTCAGACGCCCCACAATAGTAGTATTTCTCGACCCTAATGTGGCATTTGACTCTGTCGATTGTGAGGTTCTGTGGCAGTGTCTGTCATTGAAAGGTGTACCAAAGAAGTACATTAACCTCATACAAGCTCTCTACTCAAACACCACTGGTCGAGTGAGAGCTTATGGCGAACTGTCACCGGAATTCTCTACATCAAGTGGTGTTAGTCAGGGATGTCCACTCTCTCCATTATTGTTTAAGTTTATCATAGACATGCTCCTGGAAATAAGCTTATCCGCGTCCGAATTTTCAGGGGTTGACCTATTACCAGGAGGCTCGCTTATCGACTTAGAATATGCCGATGATATTGTCCCACTTGGTGAAGACGCTGACAAAATGCAGAGTCTTCTGACCACTTTGAGCAACAATGCAGGCATTTTCGGGATGCGGTTTTCCCCCTCGAAATGCAAAATGTTGCTTCAAGATTGGGTTGGATCGGCACCTGAACTGGTGATAGGGAGTGAAGTAGTCGAACGTGTAAACCGCTCCACTTATCTGGGGAGTCTCATCAGTGCTGATAGCCTGGTGACTGACGAAATCTGAGCACGGATAGAGAAGGCTCGATTGGCTTTTGCCAACCTGCGTCACTTATGGCGTAGGCGAGATATCCGTTCGCTGACCAAAGGACGAGTGTACTGTGCAGCAGTTCGCTCTTTCCTACTCTACGGATACGAGACTTGGCCGTTAAGAGTAGAAGATGTTCGTAGGTTACTAGTATTCGATCATAGATGTTTAAGAAGCATTGTTCGTGTATCATGGAACAACCGTATAAGCAATGCTGTCGTTAGGAAACACGTTGTAGGTAGGGACGGCAAATCAATGGATGAAGTATCGAAACTTCATCAGTTGAGGTGGTTGGGACATGTGTTACGAATGCCCGAGCACAGACTATCTCGACGAGCTATGTTTTGTGGTTAAGGAGTAGGTTGGAAGATAGCTAGGGGCGGCCAAACCAAAACATGTCAGAAATGCATGAAGTCACTGACAAGTGGACTGAGTCATTTTGGTAGATGTAGGCTACCTGGTTGGGGTGCGCGAGATGATAATAATCGATGGTTAGAGAGAGACCTTGAACGACATGGCTCAGAATCGTTTGCAATGGCGCAAGTGCATCGACTCTTTGTGTTCTATGAAATTCTAAGTTTCTGCATTCCTCGTAATCTATACCTTTCTCCTTTTGAATTTATCGTACTGAATTATACTTCTCGAATCATATCTTCGCCCTCTAGTCTTCTCCATTACTGCTAATACTTCTATTATTGCTATCACTCTTGGATTTGAACTGACAGTTGCGTCTCTGTGCTGATGGGGCATGGCAACGTGAACTGATGTACTTACGTACGAAGTTCTGCATTGTATCTGTCTGTCTGTCTTATGTTTATTCTGAACTTTAAAATGCTTACTCATTCCTTTGATGCTCTTTATACTTTCAGATCTAAAGACAGCATCGAAGGGTCTGATTTTCCTAAAGGAGGTGCAGGTGAAGATGATGAAGATTTGGAAGTCGAAACAGAAGTTCAGAGGTTGTTGAACGAGGAAGAAAAACTGAAAAAAAAGTAATTCTGACCCCATAAATCTTAATTATATTGAAAAATATCTTGAGGTATCTAACTGCTCATTATTGTTTTAGAAGAAACCTTCAGATTTCAACTTGTATTGAAAAATTTCTTTGAAATTGCCTATGTAATGTGTAGTTTTTACTCTGTTATGTTTTAAAGTGTTCATAAACTAATTTTCCTGCTTTCTGATGTAACTCTAGTAATCCTCAATCATTTCTGCTAGTTAGATTTTAGTAGTCTATTCGTAACGCTTATAAATACAAACTATAAGACGAAGTATTTGACAAGGATGCACCAGGAAGAGGCCATTTACTTGTTTATCAGTTATCGTTTGCTTAACTTGACTGATTTGACTATCCATTTGTGGTTCTTACAAAGCTTTGAAGTGTAATCTAGACAAAATACTCCAACATATTTAGCATTTAAACAGATGAGAGCTACTGACTACCTGTCCAAACTTACATAAATGACACATGCGTAAGAAAAACAGTGAATAAAAAGGGTGAAGCGATGCAGTGGTTTTTTCGTTAAAGCACTTGAATCTAAGCTATCAAATCACAGGTTTGAATTTTGGTTCACCTACTTTGGTTTGTGCTGGTTCATGGGACCAATTGCTTTTATTTTTAAAGTGCGCCTCATGATTGAGTACATAAATATGTACTTGGCAATGCAATAAGGAATTAATTATATGGTATTTTGTCTCGATAGAGTTGCGTTAGTTAACTGCTAACGGCTAGAGCGGTGTGATAGCAATAGGGTGTTTCCCTCGGGCAATCAACATCTGCAGCGATGCTGCCTTCTCAGAAGAAAGGAAGGGTTAGGAAAGGTCGACCCTAAAAGTGTCACACCTCACCTTACCTCACGGATTTCCGTCTTCGGCGGTAAGGCCTTCTAAACAAGAGCGGAGTTAGCACTTTAAACACTCATAAAAAGGCGATGCGTGACCGACTTCAAGCTGTCCCTTGGGCTCTGCAGTCACGCTCCCAGTTCTCTAAGCAACTCTAATCTACCTTCTTTTTCAGGTTCCTCAACAATCACCCACGGTATGGCAGCCGGGAATTGATATTCACCCTCATACCCGTAACAACACATGAGATCGAATCAGTCACAACTGACTGACTGACTAATTTTTTACTTATAACAGCCTTATAGTTTGTTTACTGATAGTTTACAGCCATCTCATTCCACCGTTGGTTAATCTTACTTCAATTTTTGAATTGTATATATTTGAAACAAACATTTCCAATTTCTAGTTTCAACTAGGATAAACTATTGGTTTATCTACTATTTACCCTCATTTTTTCTTTATAATCAGAAAATTGAAAAAAGTCAGAAAGGAGAAACGAAAGCTTGCAGAACGCTACGTACTTAAAATGTCACACGAATCTGACTATATTGAACAAAATGATGACGAGTTATTTTCCTTAGCTGCTGTAAGGGATTTAGTCGGTTTAGAAGAGTCTAACAAATTGTCGGGAGATACTAGTAACACTGGTGTAGATGATTTAGCACGTGAACAAATCGATGCTGCTTTGAAAGCTAAACGTAAGCGTTTAGCCGATGAAAGGCGTTCAGCAATAGAAGGAAAAAAACGCGTTCATTTCGAGAGGCGTATCAACGATCAGTCTGATGGCCATATGTCTGACAGTGAACCTATTGGTGAAAGTTATGGTAAGCTGGCCTATTGAAATTGCCTATAGAAATTAACACTAAAGTCTATACTTTAAGAAGTAAAACAGACACCAACTCTCCTTTCATACCTTTCACTCAGTCATATATTTAGCAATATTTTGATTAGCCTAGCAAACCTTGGTTTCTGTATTTGACTGCAAAAAACAAGTTAAAGCACTAGTGGATTAGCTAGATTCATATACTATATTCTGTCGAATCTTTAATAAGATTTCCTCACATGTTTTGAATGTCTGCCTCTGATTTTGCTTTGTGTTTTTTTCTCAACAAATCTGTTGCATACATGTATTAAATTTGTTGATAATTTTCTTAGAAAACTGAGAAACACTTAAAAGGTTTCAGCGTTATTTACAGCTAGACTCATATGGACACTGGAAAACTGAGTTTTAAGTGTTTTGTTTCCATAAATATGCTTTACATATGTTTTTTTAAACGCAGTGTAAGCATTCACTATTGTAATTAAACTAATTTTAGGATATCTTATTGTTCTACGTCTTGGTCTGCCTAGAGTGGGTGCCAATAAACTAACCAACTCCCCGATGTAATTTCGTTTGTATGAATTTATTTGAAATTCTCTTAAGTTCTTTATATTTCCGATTGAATATTTGTAGTATGCAAATAAAGGAATTGCACTTTTACGTTTTAATACCGTAGTTAAACCTATATTCTGTTAATAGTTTACAGCAAATTGATTAGCCTTCTACTGATAAAGTTCTGACTTTTCTGTCAACAAACTGATACCTGACAGCTAAAACCATAATCAAGGATTAGATCCTCATTTATGACCAAGGTTTTTGCTGAAGGCTGTAATCGTGATCTGGTTAGTAGTGTTTAACCATTATAATCTTGGAGATAATATATATGCTTCTTATATATCACTTGTCCTGATAACCGTTATTGGTTAGCCCCTGACGATGAATAAAGACAATGCGAAGCGTTAATTACAGTTTATCGTACCCTAATGGAGCATAGGTCATCAACCAGCATTCTCCAACCTATTCTCTCCTCAGCCTTCCGTTCCAGTTCTACCCAATTGCTGTTCATCCTTTTCATGTTTATCTCCAGTTCTCGGTTCACTGTGTTCCTTGGTCTTGGTCTTCAGCGCTTCTTTCTAATTTCCTCCTCAGCTGCAACCTGATTTGTTCTCTGCCACAGTGGGTTGTTACTGATGGTGTCTGGCCAACTGGTCTGGAGCATCTTGCGTAGACAACTCTTCATAAGCACGTGTATCTTTTGGTTGACGGCTTTCGTAGTTCTCCAAGTTTAAGCTCCATACAATAGAACTGTTTTGACATTCGTATTAAAAATTCTGACTTTGATGTTGGTTAACAGTTGCATTGAGTTCCAGATATTCTTCAATTGAACAAATGATGCTCTTGCTCCGCCAATCCGCTCCTTCCCATCTGCATCAGATCCACTTTGCTTATCAACGATGTTGCCCAGGTGTGTAAAGGTTTTTACATCCTCCAAAGCTTCTCCATCAAGTGCTACTTGGTCGGTTCTTGTTGTATTCTATCTGAGGGTCTTGCTTTCTTCCTTGTGTATGTTGAGACCTGCTGCCTAGGTTGCTGCTACACTGGCTGTCGTCTACTGCACTTGTTGCTGTGTGTGAGACAGAAGAGCTAAGTCATCTGCGAAGTCCAGATCGTCCAGATACACCCGAGCTGTCTGCTGTATTCCTTGCTTGACATCTTCATAATGCATTCAACCACCGGAAGAAAGAGAAAGGATGCGAGTAAGCAACCTTGTCTGACACCGGTTTTCATTTAGGATGAGCCATTGATCTACCCATATGTGTTCATACAGACATAATAACAATAAAACTAAGATATAAGCAAATCGATTCTAACTTACTGGCACTTTAGTAAGCTAAATGGATGGGCTTGACAAGATTAGACGTATAGAGTTTCAAGTGTAGACGAGGTGCTATAATAGACTATTATCAAAATATTATTATTATTATTATTATTATTATTACTAATATCGTGGTTAGTCTTTTAAAATGTGTAGACCTTTTTATCACGTGAGAAAACCAATTAAACTCAACAAGATCGTCTGCCTCGCACTTCTGATATGTCTTTAAAAGCTTTACTGTGGTAGGCTAAAGATGAAAGAAGTTTTATGTTTAGAAAAAAGCATCACGAATCTGTGTGATTTTTATGCATGGGTCTAACTTATTTCCTAATATAACTGCAAAATAAATGGGACTCTCAAAATAGGAAAATTCTCGTTGTGGTCTAGTGTTTAGAATATTGCGTTGTGCTCGCATTGAACCAGAGTGACCTCCTATCAGCAGCGTTCTGTTACGGGGCAGTGACTTAATGGTCAAGGCTCTTGGCTGATTCTAAACCCCGCCTTACTTATATCAGCCTGACTAATCGTTTAGTACTGTTAGCCATCACAATTGGAGCGTAGTTCTAAATCAAATACACGAATGTGTGATTCTGTTTGAATCGTCATTTAATCCGAATAGCATGCATGGTAACTCAAACGATATTTACCTACACATACAGGTTTTTCATTTGATTTTTTAAAAATGCATATTACTTTATCGTTTAAATCTTAAACTTTCGAGTGCTTTAAATAGATTGGAATTCACCAGTGGATTAGATCTGCTTGATTGTGCCATAGTATGGAAACCGTCTACATATTTGTACATTTTAATGAATTATCACAAAATAACTGGATTCCAAACCATGAAGAGTTTTTAATGTTTCATACCAGTTAATATAAATAGAAAACCTCTTTAATAACGGATAAGTAAACCAATTTATACGACTAATCTGATAAGTCATCGGGTTGTTCTGATCTCAAATTTGCTTACATCCAATTAGTTTATATACGTATTTTGTCTCTGGAATATCAGCACAACTGTGTTTTTTGTCTCAAGTAGGTTGCACTTTCTTTCCGCTTAAGTAGACCACTACGACTAGGCATATAAAACCCTTATATATTTTGTTTTATAATTGTAGCGGATAACCAACGTGATGATTTATATATGAGTTCTGAAGAAAGCAGTGACAGTGAGTCAGGCGAAGAAAACGATGCTGATCAAAACTCTGTCTTAAGTTCAGAAGATGGATTCTCGGAAATTGATTATGACAATAATAGTATCGGTTCATTAGACTCGGCTTCACCAAAATCCCATTTGAACGATAGAAAAATGAGATCCAAACGACAGATGGTTCTACCACCTGGACTGACTTTGTCTACTTCTGAGCAAGGTAAAAGAAATCCTTTGCTCGTAGATTTGGACGATTCCGAAGAATCTGTTAAGAAAAAACGTAAAATCGATTCATGGTTTAGTTCGGATGAAATTCAAGTGAGAATTGTTCTAATTATTGTCTCTTTATCGTTCGTATGACATTCGACCAATGCCTTTTTCATAACATATTATCTTCCATTATTAAAAGTAACAAATAATACAGGATTCGTTATTTGATGTGTCATTCAAACACTTTCATTTCTGATTTTCTACCATTTGTGTAGGAGAAAATTCATGGTAGTTGCAAGGATACATTTAATTTTTTGAGCAAATTTCGGTTTCTTGTAACACAACTTATCACCCTACCTTTGTTCGTCTATTTGCATTTGATTCATACATCTTGTATAAAGAATGCTAGAAACTATGTTGATCGGCGTTCGAATATCAAAGCCAGTGGTTAAAACATTGGTACTCTAATTACCGATTACTGCCTCATCAAAGTAAAAAAGCGAAGTCACTCAGTCAGTTACAACCTAGAACTTCGTACGTACGTGCGTCCGAAGATGTTATTCAAGAAGTATGATCTAGTCAACTAAACCATTGAAAACGGTTTTGTAGCCGTCATCCATGGTCTCTAAGCATCGATTACTGTCATCTCGCAGACCCCAACCAGGTAGTTGACGACTACCGACATAAGTCTGTCCAGTTGTCAGTGACTTCATGGATTTGTGCCATATTTTGGTTTTGCCGCCCCTAGATTTCTTACAAACTACTACATCGCAAAACATCGCTCGTCAAGCCAGTCAGTGGTTGGTCATTGGTAACACATATCCCAACCACCTCAACTGATGGAGTTTCAAAACTTCATCTATTTATCTGCCATCCTTACCCAGTACCTGTTTCCTAATAACAGCATTGCTTACTCGGTTGTTCCATGATACACGAGCAATGCTTTTGAGACACCTATGATCGAAAACCAGCAACCTATGAATATCTTCTACTCTTATTGGCTATGTTTCACAGCCATAAAGTAGGACGGAGCAAACTGTTGTGCAGTAGATTCGTTCTTTAGTTAACAGACGGATATCTCGCCTATGTCGAAAGTGATGCAAGTTGGCAAAAGCCAATCGAGCTTTCTGTATCCGTGTTGAGATTTCTTCAGTCACCAGGTCATCAGCACTAATAAGACTTCCAAGATTAGTGGAGCTGTCGACACTCGACTACTTCACTCCTTAACACTAGTTCATGTGCCGATGCAAGCCAATCCTGAAGTAGAATTTTACATTTCGACCGGGAAAACTGCATTCCAAGCATGCTTGCATTGCCGCTTAAGGTGGTCAAAAGAGTGCATTTTGTCCGCGTCTTCACTGAATAGAACTGTTATCGCCATTCTAGGTCTACAAGTGAGTCTCCCTTTGTAGGCCAACCCCTGAAAATTCAGACGATAAAAGTGTCGTCTCTAAAAGCATGTCTGTGATTAGATTAAGTAAAAATGGAGAAACTTGACAACCCTGACGGGCACCATTTGAAGTAATGAATCCCGATGACAGTTCGCCATGAGTTCTGACTCGACCAGTAGTGTTCGAGTAGAGAACTTTTATAAGGTTGATGTACTTCTCTGGTACTCCTTTTAGCGACAAACACTGCCATAGAACCTCGCGATCGACAGAGTCGAATGCCGCTTTAAGGTCGAGAAATACTACTTCTGTAGGACGTCTGAACGTGTGTCTATGTTCTAGGACCTAATGAAGCATGAATATTTGGTCTACACATACAAATCTGAACCGAGACTGGTTTTATCGTGACAACTCTTCAAAAGCCTCGGTTAGACGTTTAAGTATTATTGCAGCTAACATTTTAGACACAGTATTAGTAAAACTGATTTCTCTGTTATTGTCACAAGATAACATCTGTCTTTTCTTATGGACCTGAACGATCCTTGTTTGAAACCAATCGGATGAGATTATTCCCAGTTCCCAAATTCTGCCGATGATCTCACTTAACCTCACTGCCAAAATCGGACCATCACCCTTGAGAATCTCCGAGGTTAACTTACCAGAGCCTGCTACTTTCACTTGCCTTGCGTTTCTTGTAGACTTTTCAACCTCATTAAGAGTGAGAGGACCTACATCAACTTGCCATTCTGGTTGACTGGAGATAGTGGGTACGCGAAGTGTGGCTGGAAGCCAGTTGAACTGTCCGCTGAAGTGTTCTGCCGATCGATCCAATGCCCCGAAATAAGAATGAAAAATAGTTCCATCCTTTTCCTAGTTAGTCTCACTAGCGATCGGATTCCTAACACCAGTTTCTTTGATATGTGTGAATAGTTGTCTACTGTTACATGTCGCCACTGCCTTCTTCATCTCATTTGCTTTAGCTACCCACCGCGTCCCAATCTACAAGAAAGGACAGAAGTCTTCTTGTGACAATCACAGGGGAATAAGTCTAACTAATATAGTATCTAAAATATTGGCCTCAGTAATACTTCGACGCTTAACGAAAGCTCAAGAAGAGCAAACTCGAGAAAACCAGTCTGGTTTTCGACCTGGACGTGGTTGTATAGACCACATCTTCACATTACGACAGGTCCTAGAATAAAGAAACACGTTCAGACGCCCCACAATAGTAGTATTTCTCGACCCTAATGTGGCATTTGACTCTGTCGATTGTGAGGTTCTGTGGCAGTGTCTGTCATTGAAAGGTGTACCAAAGAAGTACATTAACCTTATACAAGCTCTCTACTCGAACACCACTGGTCTAGTGAGAGCTTATGGCGAACTGTCATCTGAATTCTCTACATCAAGTGGTGTCCGTCAGGGATGTCCACTCTCTCCATTATTGTTTAATTTTATCATAGACATGCTCCTGGAAATAACCTTATCCGCGTCCGAATTTTCAGGGGTTGACCTATTACCAGGAGGCTCGCTTATCGACTTATAATATGCCGATGATATTGTCCCACTTGGTGAAGACGCTGACAAAATGCAGAGTCTTCTGACCACTTTGAGCAACAATGCAGGCATTTTCGGGATGCGGTTTTCCCCCTCGAAATGCAAAATGTTGCTTCAAGATTGGGTTGGATCGGCACCTGAACTAGTGATAGGGAGTGAAGTAGTCGAACGTGTAAACCGCTCCACTTATCTGGGGAGTCTCATCAGTGCTGATAGCCTGGTGACTGACGAAATCTCAGCACGGATAGAGAAGGCTCGATTGGCTTTTGCCAACCTGCGTCACTTATGGCGTAGGCGAGATATCCGTTCACTGACCAAAGGACTGTGCAGCAGTTCGCTCTTTCCTACTCTACGGATACGAGACTTGGCCGTTAAGAGTAGAAGATGTTCGTAGGTTACTAGTATTCGATCATAGATGTTTAAGAAGCATTGTTCGTGATCATGGAACAACCGTATAAGCAATGCTGTCGTTAGGAAACAAGTTCTAGGTAGGGACGGCAAATCAATGGATGAAGTGTCGAAACTTCATCAGTTGAGGTGGTTGGGACATGTGTTATGAATGCCCGAGCACAGACTATCTCGACGAGCTATTTTTTGTGGTTTAGGAGTAGGTTGGAAGATAGCTAGGGGCGGCCAAACCAAAACATGTCAGAAATGCATGAAGTCACTGACAAGTGGACTGAGTCATCTTGGTAGATGTAGGCTACCTGGTTGGGGTCCGCGAGATGATAATAATCGATGGTTAGAGAGAGACCTTGAACGACATGGCTCAGAATCGTTTGCAATGGCGCAAGTGCATCGACTCTTTGTGCTCTCTCAAATTCTAAGCTTCTGGAATCGTCAGCTCCTCTACCTTTATCTTTCTAACCTTATCTCACTGAATTATACTTCTTGAATAATATCTTCAAACCGTAGTCTTCTACATTACCATTTGTACCTCTACTATCTTTATCGCTATGGGGTTTGATTCGACATTTGCGTCTGTGTGCTAATGTTGTATGGCAACATGGACTAATGTACATGCGTACGAAGTTCTACGTTGCAACTTACTGACTGAGTGAGCTACCCGCCACTGTTCGCGATCACTGCATAGGCTTTTTATTTGCTTGCGCTTAAGCTGACTGCTCCTCATCATGTTCCAAACGGGATGCGTTTTTGAGCATTTTCCAGTTCTGTAGATGCTAGTGATATCCACTTCTTACTCTTTACTTTATGGTTTACCTTACTAACAGATATAACTTCTGTTTCCACATCTTTTCGGTTTTTATTTCAAGCTGCCTCGGGTTGGACATCACCCAGGTGGCTGCCTAGTTGTTTTCCTATTTGCTCTTGAAATATACACCTGACTTTGTTATCGTTCAGCATAACTCTAAGGGATTTCGTCGCTGATTCTTTCTTACATCTAATAAGACGCGGATAAATAAGCGCTTGTACTAGAGCATGATCTGAATCTAAGCATGTGCTCCTGAACGAGCGACAGTTTTTTGTCGAGCCTCTCCATCGGTGGCTGATAGCGATTTGGTCTAGTTGGGTCCAGTGTTGAGTGGATTTCGGAGGTCGCCACGTCAAAATATGTTTCTCCTTATGCTTAAAGTTAATGTTTTCTAGAAATAGGCGGTTATCTGAGCATAGCTGCAGAAGACGGTCACTACTGTCTGTTCGATCAATCGCGACACCATAAAATCCGCCCAGATATCTTTCAGTTTCGCTGAATCTACCTACCTGAGCAATAAAGTTACCAGCCACTATTACTAGATTAGAGCGCTTAACTAGCTGAAGGAGGTTGGAAAGCTTTCTGTAAAATTCATCTTTTACCTCATACGAGCTTCAGTTAGTGGGTACTTAGTGGGTACATAGGCAGAGACAGCGAAGAGGCAGCGGCGAGTGTTCCTATATTTCCGAGTCTTTACCGTCCCGTTTAGTCGTGGGAGCGTGACCACAGAGCTCAATGAACAGCTGCTTGGTGCCGGTCGCGCACGGCCCTTTTATGAGAAGTGTTTAAAGTGCTCTTGTTTAAAAGGCCTTACCACCGGAGACGAAAATCAGTGAGATAAGGTGAGGTGTGACGTTTTTAGGGTCGGCCTTTTCTAACTCCTTCCTTCCTTGTGAGAAGGCAGCATCGCTGCAGATGTTGGTTGCTCGAGGGTTAGGCTTTATAAATGACGTTAGTAATGTACCTGCTTTCATCTTCTCCCTCTATGTATTTCCTTTATCTATTTTCAAAAAAATATTCGTTCACATTCGTTAAACTGAATATTTATTTTAGGAAATACTTGCTCCATTGCAAAAAGAAGAAGGCGAGAATGTTTCTATAGCCAGTCCAACTAATAGACCTAAAGCTAACTATTCATCGGATACTGAGGTAACGGGAAAGAAACGAAAAAACAAAACAATTGTAAATACTGAAGCTATTAGTGTTCCAGATGACTGTGTATTACCATCTTCAGAAACTCAGTTACCTAAAGTTTCATGTGAGTAGATGTGTACATTTTTTCTATGATCTAGCAAGTGGATTAACCCTTTTATACTTTAAGTGCTCTGGTCGATTTCTTGTATGAATCAGCTAATGTTTTTCAACACTTAGTAACACGCCTTATGTCTAGACATAAATTGCTCGCTTATATATCCATGATTGTCGTCAACTTGTACTTGTTTTGTTGACAGTGATAATAGGTCAAAAGTTTGCGATTTTCTTCTGTAGGGATTGCTAGAGATTTTTTCTGTTCCTCTTCTTAGTTTCCCTCCTTAATGGTTTGATGCATAGTAACTTGGATAGGGCTGTGTTATGAACCAGATATCAGTGACTTAAAACATATATGGTGTTCAAAGTTACCCACAATTACCTAGTTTTTCTCTCGTATTCTGTATGATTAACAGGATGTTTTCCGAGAGAATTCTAGCCTATCGTGTTTGAAAGTGTTTTTTTGAAGTACACTCTTTGATTTTTTAAAATTTCGAATTATGCTTATTCCGTTCTATGTAGTATCCATCTTTTAATACCCTATTTATCATTTTATAAATACAAATGTTAACCTCAGTTGATTTAAGAAATATTAGTTTATTGTGCGCACAATTAAATTGAGGTAAACCATGTCACAAATATGTCTTGATTGACGTTACTGCACTTTCAACTAGTATAATTAACACAACACATGATGAGTAATAGAAAGTTAGTAACAAGTAAATCAGCTTAGCACAGGTTCATAGTCTCACGGTTATCTCTTTTCGTATAACTTTTTTTTAAACAGCTGAAAAACTTGAGAAATCATTGCATCGTATACGACGCCTCAATCGCCCATTGACTGCAGAAGAGCGTGCCGTGGCCACTCGTCTTATACAGTCCGCAAAATCTAGACGTGAACTACTCGAATCAGGATATAATCGTTATCAGTTCTTTGAGAAGTCTTCTGATTTGCCTGATTGGTTTGTTGAAGATGAAAAGAAACATATGCGGAAACCGATAGTGGTTAAAAAGGTAATTAATTTATTAGATAGTCATATTTCTTTTGTTTGAAAGACCTAGTTGGTCTAGTATCTTTGGGTTTGGTGTGTGAAGTCGTTATTCACTAATTCTGCTTCCTAACACATTTCTATTAATCGCCAAATGGGAAAACGAAATATCTGTGTGATATGTTTAAGCAAAAATATTTTAAGAAGCTTGTATAGGAAACAGCGGATACATTCATTTTCATGATGAAAAGATTAAAATTCCTTTCCCTCTTCCAGAACCTAAACATATCACTCAGTAAAAACAAACTATTGTAATGAATAATAATTCTTCCTTAACAAAATGAGAATACACTTTTACTACAATCTAGATGGGTCTCATTAAAATTAGACGGTATTATTATTCAGTATGATTTCATACGGTTATCTTAATTAATAAATGACAAAAAAGAGAGTTTTTCCATTTAGCACTTTTAAAGCTGTATTACTGTTAAAATTTCAAATGGGCACTAAGTAGTGTTCTTCCGTTTTGTAAGTTTGTAGTATCATCACAGGCAACCTCTCTATACTGCATTTATAATTGTTTTTGTGTTTCATGCTGTTGTTTATTACTTTGGGGGTCTGTCTGATAGTTGTGGTTTAAGCCCTACTAGTTTTACATAGACCTAACTAACCATTTAGTACTAATGAGTTTGACTCAAAGCCTTAGTAGGCAAAATGAAATGTGATTATTAAGTTTTATCTAACCATTCTACAAAATCTTCATATGTTATCAGTAGTCTGTCTTATATTTTACCTTCATCGTTTCTATTTTAACCATCATAGGAAGAAATCCCAGTCGATTTGCCTACTATGGGACGTTCTCTCTCAAAGGCGGAACAAGCCAAAGCACGTAAAAAAGCTCGTTTAGCGAAACGTTTAAAACGAATTCGTCAGAAAGCAGAAGGTATATCGGATGAAATACCAGAAACTGAAAAGTGGCAACAAATAAAACAGTAAGTTGTATTGTTATAGAAAAGGCTTTAATAATTTGTCGTAAGTTTTTGGCACCAAAACATAGTTTAATGATAGAGTAATTCTACATCTTTGGAAGTAATATCCACTTAGTGTCCGTTACTAGATTAGTGTATAGTTAAACATCTAGAGGTTACTGTAGAATTGTAAACTAGTCATCTAAACATTAGAATTTCAACAACTGGCTTGCGTATCTGAATCCCACCTCATATTCTTTCATTTGGACAACTAATTGTCATCTCTAATCCTTACAAATCACAAATGTGAATTAAAGCTGATTAATTTGTACCTAATTATTGAATCGCATAGATTTTTTTTTAGCTTGTTCATACCATTGGTGTAAATTTTAGTATATGCCCCGCTGTGGAATTCACGATGGGCATTCCATGTCGTTCATGAACCATCAACTGAGTGTATTTGCATCGGTGTTGGCATTTACAGTGCAACTTAAACCCAGTACCTTGCACTTTGAACACCAAACTCGCTATCCTACTATAACCATTAATTCGTTCATCAGATATAAATACGACATTGAAAACTCATTGTTTCAGATAAGTTAATAACATTAGTTCATTTAAAAAGTATCCATCTGTTACATCCTAAACATTAAATTTTTTATACAGCTTGTGTATACAAATAGTATCTGTAGGTATATTTATCACAATCATATTTGAGAGTAGATTTGTTGAGTGTAAATAAATTAATGCTTTTGATAAATTTTAATCCTACTGACTCAAGGATTGTGAACCTTTAACCTTTAAATTGATTATTAATAGATTTAGTTCTGTTTTAGTGGATGATGATTTAGCGATCGTTTCCATTTATTCATTTAGACTGTATAAGAAAGCTGGCCTGTTAAAGAAGAAACGTCGTCCTCTTCATGTAATTGTGAATACAAAAGCTGGTTCGCGTAGCGGAGGCACTAAACCTCAAAAAGGCGCTAAAGTCAAAATTGTAGATAAACGAATGAAAGCAGATTTACGTGGACAGCAAAAAGCTAAAGATGGAAAAAAGCATGGAAAGCGTAAGAGTAAAGTTAGGCGTCCTGGAAGACCGAAAAGTCGAGCGATCGGAAAGAGACATTAACTATTTTGTTTCTTTAATTACAATCTGTATATATAAAACATTATTTGGCCATATTGATTTTTGTAAAATGTGCTTATTCTTCTTTCTTATCTTCTTGCTGAGTGCGATGTGCAATCGTTTAGTATGCGGATAACTTTTTTAATTATACGATGTTTCCATGCAGGCAACAGCAGTACGATTGAGAGTTGTTAGCGTAAAATAAACGTGATGACATCACTCCTGAGTTTAATGTATAGGAAGTTACTTTTTAGGTGTTCAATTGCTTAAAATAATCTGAATTATGAATATAAAATCAAATCAATAGGATTATTTTCGTAACAGTATTTTTGTTGTGAAGTGAGGCAGGTTTAGTTGTTTTATCAAAACATGTATGGGGTCTTGAGAGCACTTGATTCACGTTCAGTAGTTTTTAAGCCCTAGAAAAATCTGGTATGATATGTTATTATAAACGTAAGAATAATGTGTAAAGATTTTCCCAATACAAAGTACATGTCCTACAAGAACCAGCTTCTTACGAGTGTTTCCTATAAATATTCCTTTATGAATTCACTCTGAAACATTGCGAATTCTAGCATGTTAACTTAACTTCATATTCGATTTCATTGTTTTATTAATCTCTTTTTGAAATGAGAAAATTGTAAATTTCTGAGTTGGGTCACGGATCTACTGGTTACTCATGGGTCCATCTGTTGAACAGCTCTGTAGATATCTCAGAAAAGAACGTGTATTTTAAACAAAGCATAGATGATGTTCATGATTTTTAATGATAATTGTCGACTTTAATTCACACACCAAGGTTAAGTGATTTGCTATGCATATGCATCCATATTGATACAAGCTTCATAGTATAGAGAAATCCAAGTAGGGTTTATTGAATTTTACTTTGAAGAAACTATAAACTTAATCATGTATGTCAAATTCCCTCTGGTAATCATGTCTTGACCAGTTGCACTGCGAGATATTGTCTCATGTATCAACTAAAAGCGTCAATTGTTGAGTTTAGTCTTGTTGTAATCAGTCTCGATTAAGATTAGTTTATTGTGTAATAAGTTTTATCAACTCAAATCACTCCTTTTCATCTGCTCTTCAATGATTGTAAAAGGGAGTTATTGAAAATTAAGCTAGTTGATTGTACATTTAACATTCAGTCGATTTCGAATTGATGTTACATCAGTTCAATCACTCTAATTTTTGATCAGTGTATGCTAATGAATATTCTGCTGTGAGTTTTACTTTCACGAAATCAGTTTTTTTTCTAATTCAGATAATAAATGAAGACTGCATTTATGTTTAGTTGTTTATTAAACATAGAATACTTTGCTAAAAAGGAAACCAATCTAATTTATTATCATCTAGCGGTACAATTCAACGAAATATTCAACTCCTCGGAGCATTGCACAATCCGAGGAAAGTGTATTTGGCTCCCATTGAATAATGACCAACTGAAAGAATAGAATATTGATTATCGAAAACTGGTTAATAGACGTTAAGATGATTTTGTTAGCATATTAATGGTGATAGAGTCCATTTTAAACAGCAAAGAGCGTGGTATGGTTAAGGATAAGGTCGAGTTTTATAATGTTCTTAGAGGATGGTCAGTTGATTTTCACGTATACTAAGTAGTATTTTCTGGGGTAGCTTTTCGAGGTGCATATTGACCTATGAAGTCATGTCTTTTACTCGATATGCAAACAAAATAGAAAATATGAAAAATAAGTGTGCCTTTTGAACAGCCATATTCTCCTAATCCAAATCTTTGAGATTTTATAAGCTTATACTTCTCAATACCAAGTCATGACCAAGAAAACTAGTTGATATGACATAGTCAAAATGATAGTTCTACAGCGAAATTTGGGAAACAATTTTATGTAAGTTTTTTTATCATTTCCATCCATGTGATTTATTAATCACAGCTAATACATATAATTCCATAAGTCTGGCTGGAGTTTGGCAAGAAACTGGTTCAAGTTTTGTTTTTAGTAGATCATAATCTCCATATCATCACTTAGTTACTGGAAAGGCTCTATCAAAAACTGATATATTTTAATGTGTTTACGATTCGTTACTGAATTCGAATGCCACTGATTTATAAGATGTAATTGACTATAAACCCATGAAGTCATCATATTTTACAAGTTATGGTGAAAATATTTGGCTTACTTAAGAAAAATACTGGAGACAACATCAGAATTCACATTGAAGCTTATCCGTTACACCAGAAATAAAGCAATGTTCTCTGCTTATTGAATGTTATTTATATTTAATTATTATACAGTGGTTTTTTGGAGAACTTAATAAAAAGTCAACCTAAAAGTTGGAAATTCAGGAAGAATTTAGTAAACTATTGAAATTTAGGTTTTGAGGGCACACCGGTGCAAATCTTAACAATTGTTGATATATAAGGGCAACTGGTGATGAATTCTATAGTATTGTCTTTTAAATATTAGCTTCAACGACAATATGTTGACCTTTCTGTTTATAACTTCATGTGAGATGTTAGAGTATATCTGGATTTTAGGCATAGCTGTGGTTCGTTTTTCAGTGGAAGGTGTTTAATTTTCCAAATTTTATTAAATAAAACCTTTTAAAGGATATTTTCTTTCTTGATTAACAAAGGTAAGATTAAACACCAATTTCAGATAACAGAAAATGTACCAAACAAATTCCTTTCTAAATATTATTAATCTCTTTTAATACTACTGAATGAATAAAATAAAATAAATCCCATAGTAAATGTGTTAGTGGCTCAAATCGTACAAATTTTAGTATTTGAGTGGATGTGATTGGTAAGCTTACTACATTGGTTTAGCGTTATTGTATGTAATGATGAAGGCAAACCTAACCAAATTTAAGTGGTAACAAACTGTTAGATAATTTTTCGAATCTTATAAATTTACATAATTCCTAATGTCAGTCAGTCAATTACAACATGGATTTTCGTACGTACGTACGTACGTACGTACGTACATCAGTTGGAGTTGGTGTACCACAGCACAAAGAAGCAATTGACGATTCAAATCCCAGAGTAATAGAGTTAGTAGAAGTAATATCTGTGATCGGAGAGATTAGGGTTCGAAGATGTTATTCAAGAGGTAGAATCTAGTGAGAAACTTAAAAAGAAATAGGAAAAGGTGATGATGAATTCAGGTGATAATTTCAGAGAACACAAAGAATGGATGCACCTGTGCCGCTGCAAACGGTTTTGAGTCATGTCATTCAGGGTCCCTAAGCATCGTTTACTACTACTATCTTGCGGACCCCAACCAGGCAGTTGACGATTACCAACATAAGTCTGTCCAGTTGTCAGTGACTTCATGGATTTGTGCCATATTTTGGTTTTGCCGCCCCTAGATTTCTTACAAACTACTACATCGCAAAACATCGCTCGTCAAGCCAATCAGTGGTTGGTCATTGGTAACACATATCCCGACCACCTCAACTGATGGAGTTTCAAAACTTCATCTATTTATCTGCCATCCTTACCCAGTACCTGTTTCCTAATAACAGCATTGCTTACTCGGTTGTTCCATGATACACGAGCAATGCTTTTGAGACACCTATGATCGAAAACTAGCAACCTATGAATATCTTCTACTCTTATTGGCTATGTTTCACAGCCATAAAGTAGGACGGAGCAAACTGTTGTGCAGTAGATTCGTTCTTTGGTTAACAGTCGGATATCTCGCCTATGTCGAAAGTGATGCAAGTTGGAAATAGCCAATCGAGCTTTCTGTATCCGTATTGAGATTTCTTCAGTCATCAGGTCATCAGCACTGATGAGACTGCCGATATAAGTGAAGCGGTTGACACTCGACTACTTCACTCCTTAACACTAGTTCATGTGCCGATGCAAGCCAATCCTGAAGCAGCATTTTGCATTTCGCACCTCAAACATGCATAATGTTCCTAATATTCTAGGTATACAATAATGATTATTTGACTTAAATACATAACGGAAGCTGGTCAAATCTTTTCCATACTTTATTACAAAAGACTTATCCACTTACTTAGTTCACCTTCAGGCCCCACTATTTCTATAATAACATTGAATTATTATTCATGAATAATAACTTTTGACTATCATTTAATAATGATTTCACATTTAATTGTAATAATTTTTTGTTCATCTAAACTCTCTCATAACCAGTGTTTAGAGTAAAAGGATTGTTTTTAGTTTCACGTAAATATTGTCATTGGGAACACTGCAAGGATATTTATCGAATATTATATATGTGGGATATATCACTGTATATATGATTACTTCCTAATGTAAATATATCGGCAAATATTTATTTATGCTTACATTTCGTTGGTTTTGGCCGCTCAGTTAACCAAAATCGAAAACCTTCACGAGCTTGCTGATTTAATTTTGTCCTGAAAAATTGCTTTCGTTCTTCTGGTGTCATTCCTTTAGTGTATGGACCACCTTTGTAATACGTAGATTCTTTACTGATTTTCTTTGTACATTCATTAGGATCATCATGTTTTGTAGCAGTTATTGTCATTTCTTTTCCCATATTTTCTAATTGGGATGCAATAATCTGAGCACGAATAGTATGCGGATTAGTTTCTTTCTCGTTTCTCTCATTCATTTCTTTTAGCTGTAAATAAGTGTAAAGTGATTATTTGATTATTTCTTTTTTAATGATTTTGATTTCGTGTCATATACTATTTTAAAAACTTTTTCATGAATTAAAATAGTCTTATCAATTTATTCATCTTATTTATTTCGTTTCACTGAATGACAGGCAATTTTTAGACATTTTATGCAATTCACAAACTAGCTAAGAATAGTGTCTAATTATTGTAAATCTTTAAATATCTATTTCAATTGGAATCATATATGCGAATTCTTTATAATACGAAACCCTAATTTTGATTTTCTAATTTCATATTCATATATGAACGAATGCAAGGATCCAGTAACCATTGATTTTCCGTGTTTCTAGTTACTCAAATTAGATAATATCTCTTGAAACCATCCAATTAAACGACAATCTTATTTCAGAACACAAAATGTTTAACAAGAATAAGCAAAATGCAAATATCACCAATTACCTTTTCACGTAAAAGAAACCAATTTATTGTACCAATTCTTTTAGCTATCATAACAGGATCAGATTTTTTCCAATGATAGCGCCTAATAAATGTTGAAAAAAGAGATGGCTGATTTAGTTATCTATAAATTACTACTTCTATGGAACAAAAAATTACCATAGGACTACAAAGTTTCCGGCTATAAACTGGTTTAGTAAATACTACCACTGTTACTACTACTTCTACTATTATTATTCATAACAATAATAGTAGTGTTGATTATCAGTATATGACATGTTAAACAATACTAAATGATTACTGAATATGCTACAATAAGTAACTTCCCAACTGAAATAGCTCAAGTAAGTATTTGATAATGATGTTGACCTTTAGTTTTAATAAACTTTCACCGGACAAAATGAAGGAGGTCAATTGGACATCTGCACCAATTATACACACCTACCGGATGAGACGATTCTCTTATCAAGTTGATAACCAGAACACTAGTCTCACTTTCATCAATTTACGTAATGCGTCCATAATTACTGTCTTTCATACTCTTGATATTGCCTTACAACGATGAGAAAACTTGTTATCCCTTAGAAATTTGTATAAAATTAATTTTGTATGGGCTTTAATAGTTTTTGTCCAATCTATTATAAAAAAGTATTTGTCAAAACCTGATGAAGTGAAGAGTAGAGTGGAATAGAGATCACAAAACACTGAAGGGTATCCAACGAAGGATTGGTTTTTGGTAAAGCTTATTAATAAGTACCAGAAAATGAAAACGAAAAATTTAAGAAAAATGCAATTTACAGATATTCAAGTTTTGCTTCACCTGATATTTTAATGTTTTGGTGCTACGGTGATAATAACTAGCAGTACAACATTAACTGGGATATATCCTGCATCGAACTGGCAATCTTATATGAAACAGTAGACTTGTTTAGGAATTCGACAACTCACAGGCACCCTGTTTATGTTACATTCAACTAATTATATAAATTTACCAAAGAAGTTACGTTGCTTTACTTTAAATACAGCCTTTCGATTTCACAAGCATGTTTTGAAAGTCTACTTGAGAGAAATGGAAACTTATAATAACATGCACTTCGTCATGTGTATTTATTTTCAGTGTTTATTACGGTGATGTTTATTAGTAGTAAGAAATGCGATGGAAATAATTAAACATTACTTTTTAGTGGATTTAGTACATTCTTTTATTTCCAAAAATGTTAAATTCTTGATTTTGTTAGTTTGTCATTGGATTTGATGGTTTGACTTAATGTTTATCTAAATAATTCATTAAAACAAAACATTTTATGTTAGTCTAAGTTCTGGTAAAATCCTTAATACCTAAAAAATTCTGGTTATTAGGATAGTAGTCGAAATTGTACCTATGTACCTATGTATTTTCTTGATGGAATAAAGGGTGATTTTTTTATTCCATATTTTAGATAAATCCTATTTGAATTTTAACCAGTGTTCGTTTGATGAAGTTCCATGAAATATTAGCTTATGTATATATTTCAATATAATTTCAAGTATTTATTAACAGTACACAGTAAATAATATACATTAAAATCAATCGCGTAGGGAATAAAAACACTTACCAGTAAATGACATCTTTTGTTCTAGATGAATGAGCTCTACGAGTACTCATTCTGTTCTTGTTGATCTAAATAGACTTTGACTGCAAATATTTCTTAACTTTATTTCGATACCATTGACCTTAAAACTACTCGTAGTATCCTAATGTGTATTAATAAAAAATCAAAGTTTTATTGATTTACAAATTGACTTTTCTACGAATCAGAAAATAAATTATTAATATAAGTGCATATGATGTCCCCTTATTAATTTTTTATTCGACAATACAAACTGAATCGATAATTGTTAGGTGTTTATATGTGTATTGTGGAGAGTCGAACTAGCCTCGTTATTATTTTTCCATTATGGTATTTACTCGTGAAACACTGTACAACAAGAAATACACTGAAGTTGTCCTTTTTGGGAATATATTTATTTTGAAAATAATTTACTATGGTAACTTGTTGCTCACTATGCTTTTGAGAAAGTTAATGGCTACATACTTTCTCTTAAGACTTCATCGTTAAAATACTTTTCATAAAAAATAGATAAGGTTTAATATAAAATATCATGATATGTATAAATTTGTTATTACTCCATTGACATGGTGTAGCACGATACTGAATTAAATAATTATATAATTCTTGTCATCAAAAAGTGACAAGTTGTTAAAATGGTTTTTCTGTGAAACAATAGTTTGGTAATTAAGACAATATTTCAGGTTCATATCGCATTCAGCGTATTTGCAGAGCTGTAGAATAGCACTGTTGACTCTTATAGAAATTTATACTAATTCTGATTAATTGAATCACATTGAGTAGTTGTCAATATGATACTTGTAATACTGTTTATTGTTTGCATTGGCTTGATTTGTTTGGGTGTCTTTATTGAACAGACTGATGAATATAAAGCTGTGAATAATCTTATGAAATGTTTGCTTCAATATTAGGGTAATAGACTTTAGTCAATTTTTTGATAAGTTAGTCGATTGTCGGGTTTTGCATTCATGGCACTGTACCAAGTAATTCAGACAACTTGATTTTGGATTCCAGTCCTAATATTTGTATTTAATCATGATACCAATTTACTAGGCATATTTTCATCTATAATCTCTGTGATTAATATGAGAAGTAACTCAGTACTCAGGATATCACTGATGATACTACAGTTCGCCGACCCAGCGACATATCGTACAGCTTGGTGAAGTCAGGAAACGTAGATGGATGACGAGTCCTACGTGATATAGAGAGTATGCTCTCGGACAGGAGATATGTCTATTACTGCTATTGAGATCAATGAGAAAATTTACTTTTGATTACTAGTACATTCGTGTGAAATATGACCCCACAATAAATACTCTAAAGGCTTTTGTCACGTCGATTAAAAAAAAATCATATTTAACATTTATTAATTGAGAGAAAGATTTTAAAGCGAGCTTCTGAGCACGATCTTGCAAATCTATTCTGTTATACGACCGGCTTACTCGTAAGTGACTGATCTAAATGAAATAACTTTGGAGTTGCCTGTATAGTTTAATTAATCTGACTGTATTGTTGTGTTCTAAATGTCATTCGCTTGTTAGTTTACAAAAATACCAAGATTATAAATAACCTGATGACTGCATGATTGTTGCATTTTCCATTTTCACTGATATTTTACAACATTTTCTCTTCAATCTTTTACTTCATGCAGTGCAAAGCAGAAAAACATTTCAGCTTAAATGTAAACCGTAAAAATACGAAAAATAATTTTGGCTTACTCATAAGTAGCACAGAAATATCTAGTAAAAAAATGTGAGCAATACAAAGCTGTGATGTTATGTAAGCGGTAAATTCTGTAATGGAATTAGCTTCAAAACGAAAATGCTTTATTATACCCTAAAATCATGAAACCAGTAAGATCATTATGTTCGAAAATTGATATTCGGTTAAGAGAAAAATGTATCATCGATGTACTCTCAATCTTTAGCAAAGATGAATAGTGGTAAGTAGTGGAATCCAGGACTCCAGAATTGTCTGCACAAGAAGAGCACATAAAAGTGGCTAATCAACTGTAGTCCTAAAAATCAATGGGCAGATCCAGGGAAAATAAACTTACTCTGAATTTATCTGATAACAAAAGGAGAATATTGGAGTGAACAGTTGTTTTTGAATCACTCCATTATCAGACTGTACAGTTATGTCCATAATTATTTTGATATTTTACAAAGGCCGAACTAAGGAACACCAGTGAATCAGAAAATCTACGTGATTAAAGACGGTGAAAGTTTGTATCTGTTTAGGCTTGAATATTTCAAAACTATATCATTTTTAAATTAAAAAGGTCGTATGCTAGATTTTTGAATGATTCGCTATAAAAGGGTCTTGGTTATCATCAATATAATGTTAAAATAAATAATGTGAATTAAAATGCACGATAGAAGTATTTTATTTGGTTAATGTTTGCAATAATAGTAATACTGTTAGTGATAACAATGAAAAGCATATGCGTAGTCAATGGTTTCTGTCAATGGAATATTTGTGTACAAAAATGTTACATCTAGTAATAACATAGTTTCTTCTTTTATATTCATATATTTTACTACGCCTATAAATTCAGAAGCTTTTAAAACTGCACTAAACTAACCGTTGGCATAATAGTTCCAATAATTTCACCAACCCTTTTTGCTTTGTAATGATATGGTGAATTGGACATTTCTAGAAGCAGACATAAAGGAAACTCCCATTCGTGAACCTCAAGTAGGCTATAGAGTCGAGAAGTATGTCTTCACCATAAATGTAATTCATGATATGTTGCTGTTATCTGTAACTTGTTCTTGCCGTAGCCATTCAGATCCTCAAATGACCTAAGTTTTTGGAATTCAGCTTGATTATTCAACAAAATATTCATTTTATTTAATTAATCAGTGTTATGGTAAAATAAAATTAAACGGTAAAACAACCATTCAGTACTCCTCACTTTTCAATAATTCTTCAGGTGATATATTAATTAATGATGAAAACTATCATTAAAATTCTATAAATCTGTCTTAGTGTAGAAAAAAATATACATATATACTTTCCTACTCCTTCATCATTGAAAAACATTAAAATTTTCATTTTCGAATTAATTGTTTGTAATGTATGCATAGAAAGATAAGAGCTTGATTCAAGTTCAGTAGTCCTGAACTGATAGTATCGAAATGAGTAAATACAGGCATTTATAAATGTTGATATACCGATTAATTGTAAAGAATATTGCTAATTTGAAAGATTGTTGTGAAAAGTTCAATATCTCCCAGTGTATATCTACTATTAGAAGTTTGCATTTTCTAGGTAACACCTGTCAACATTTTACGTGATGTCTCATCTCATTTGTTGTGGAATATAATTTATTCTTTACTATACCAACCAGCTTATTTTCTCTCATAACTTTCAACTTCAAACAAGCAAAATAATGGGAAAAAAACATGAAAAGCTATTTCTGATGTACAAAGCTCAATCCATTGATCAATCGCTTTGTAATAATCGTGATAATCTGTTCGTGGATTTTCATAGGGAAGGAAATAAGCCTGAGAATTTTAAAAAGTAGTAGTAGTATAGTTTTTCCTCTTATTTTTTCACTTCAACGTAATTTTAATCATTTCTAATGAGATAATACAACTTGTATACTATAATTTACAAATAAGTAATTTATATAAAATAAAACAATATCACTGAAAAGAACAAATTTATTAATTAGTTTATTTTCTGTATAAATAATTTTTAGTGTGTAAATTTTTGTTTGCATATTTAGTATATGCTTACTTTTTTTCTTTTTCTAAAGTTTATATTCGATTAACATTTTAGTCATAAAGCTGTTAAAAATCACAAACTAAAAATTCAATATTCAATGATGAGAATTGAAATTTACACCAGAAAATAAGTTAATTAAATATTAACTTAGGAAATCGGTATTTTTCTTGTTTAGGCATAAAGTTTATTTTCTAAATCAAGTGATTAAGTCTGTAATCTGTAAGAAACTTTTTTATTGTTTGATTAAAAGGAAGAATATCATAGATATTTTCAAAGAATTTACGTAATTTGATAATTAATTAATTGATATTCACATGTAGTTTGAACTGACAAAGTTTGATTTATTGTATGATTAATGAAAGAGAGTTAACCGGTTGAAAATAGCATCTATTAGAATTTGGCAAAATGATCAAATAATAGATGATCAATAATGTTAAAGATGAGTGTGAATAACCTTTTATAAAGATTTTAACTTTCTTATCATGTATTTTATTCATGCCTTATTAACTTAGATTAGTTATTTGCATTGGATTTCATTTTTTAAAAAAAATATCTAAAATCGTACTGAATCATTTTCACTATACTTCTGAATATTTCTACTACAATTTGTGATATCAATTTGTTGTAGTTTCATTGTCATATTTTTAAAATAGGAAATTTTATTTTGCTTAACATATCGTCATTTAGCTAAGCACTATAATAAATAAGATTTTTTCTTTTCAGATGGTCCTAAATATTCAATCCTTATTAAGAGTATAAGTGATTTTTGAAGCTTGTCTGTTTACCGTTCTACAGTTATAGAAAACGTATTGATGAGCTGAATATTTTAAGTGAACTTTGTATAGATTCATTTTTAGATATTACGATTTGTAGAAGCACTTTTGCAGTTTTTGTTATGACTATAAAATATAGGTTGTGAAAATACCATGCCAAGTAGTGAGGACACGTGAACAAGAAATAATCAAAGAAATGTATAGTTTTTGTTTAAAGGTCCTTTGTATTTATTCCTTTGCCTACTTGTGTGTTCTGATAGGCATAATAATTTGGATTGTTTCTGAAAATGAAATCATGGCGTCATTTAAGGCATTTCTTATGAGTGCGGCCAGCAGAAAGTTTCTTATATTTTCGGATAGATTAAAATGTATCTAGTTAATTTATGTTTCCACATAAACTTATAAAGTAACATCGATTACAATTGTATTTGAATTGAACAGTCTTTAAAAGTTTATTTGTTATTCAGCGATATTTATCCATAACTTCTATTAATTTTGGTATTATAAAATGGTTGATGGTGTATCAC